GGGACCCCATGGCATTTCTGCTGGGAGAAGGGCAGCTGGGGCAAAACCAGCTGTACAGCATTAATTAATAACTAATGGCATACACAAATATTATTCTGCCTCCCTGAGAAAAAGACCACACAGTCCCACTAAATTCAGGCTCCCTCAGAGGGCAGCTGAGTTTCAGAGCCTGGATACAGAAACAGCTTCTCAGTTCCCTCCAGGGGCCAGTTGTGTGAATTAAAATGAAAGGGATTCACAGCCAGGTCAGACTCAGGCAGGCAAAGCAATGCTCAGACACAGAGGTTGCTTTAGTCTCTCTCCTAAAGTGGAGCATGCCAAAAGCAAAGAGATTTGTAGCAATACATGGAGTAGGGAGCAGCTGAGGTCAGCACTGAGTCCAAGAATTTCCTTGAAACAGTGAGAATTTAGAAACAGACTATTTTTAAAAATAAAGAATGAGGTCACCTTGTAGTCATTAGACAGCATGAACTGTTGTGTTTGAAAGCACAAACACATCCCTTTAACATCAATGCACCTGAATCCTCCAACTCAGAGACAGCAGGAGCAGGTGGAAGGCCTAGAGTTCAGCCCAATTGCATTAATTTTATGCCAGGTTTTAATATGGCAGAGTAACCCTAAAATCACATTATCATTACCTGTTAAGGCAAGCAGCCCCCATATAAATGATGCAGTTCCATGCACTCTTGAGCTGAAAGCATTTTTCATTTTAGACAAGGACAACAAATGCTTCCAAATCAAAAGAACAAAAGCACTTAATAGTTTCAAAAAATGTTAATCTATGAAAATGCAAACAATGATTAGAAAAAAAGACCTTTCCCTCTGATAAAGTTGGTAGGTTTGATAGGCAGTTTAATCCTCATATCCTCAGTGTGAATTTTTCTTATTTTCCGTTTTTGTTGTTGTGTTCGTTTGCTTGTTGTTTTCCTTTTGGGGTTTGTTTTGTTTTGTTTTTTTATTTGATTAGCTTCAATTGTGAAACTACATGAAAAAGAGAAAAGTCAAAAGAAAAAAGACATAAGGAGAGGTAATCATATGCAGGGAAAAGGTTATGCAGTCAATGAAAATCCAAGGGAACAGTAATGGTACAAAGGCAGAACCATTTTACTGTGATTTACCACACAGGGGAGAGCTTGCTTTGGCTTTGACACTTGAGCCACAGAGCAGAAATGGATTCTCTGATGGTGGCACTTTATGTTAGAAAGTCATTCTTTGTCCTGCATCCATCAGGGCACTCGTGGTGCTCAGCTCCCCTGCACACAAGGCGTTTAAATTTACCATGTGTAACCTCCCCTGCTTCTGCAACAAAACTCTCCAGCACTTCCATCATCCTGGCCCAGCACAACCCAAGGCAGCCTAACCCAGGGCATGTGGATGCTCCCCCAGCACCCCCAGGAGGTCTGGGCAGCATCATGAGCAGCTGTTCCTCTGCTTTTCATTTTCTCCTCAGGTCAGAAGGAAGGGAAGATCAGAGAAGTGTTCCTGTCAACCCAAACAGCCTGAGCCAGATCCACAAATGTGCCCAGATGCTGACATTCCCATCCATTTACCATGGAATTTGTGACTAAATACACACTGCTGTGGGTACAGGAGTCACAGCTCTATTGCAAGGTGTTGCACACAAACAAATCCTTTTGACTGCAGCAGGCATCAGTTTCCCAAAGTGATACAGGATAAGAAAACTCCCTGCACGGCCTGTGTGTGTCAGAGAGGCTGGATCTGCTCCCCACCCTGCCCACCTGTGTGGAGCAGAGCACAGGCAGGCAGAGGCACTGGGAGCATCCTCTGTGCCAGGACCAGAGCACTGGGCAGCTGCTTCATCTCACTCCAGTGCTTGTTTTTCTTTTTTTTCCCTCTCAGAAAGAGGAAAGCTTCTTGGACAAGGATTTTGCTCTAGGAAACTCTGGCTTTTGAATGGCTAAAAGGAAAATAAACCTTCTTCCTACTGAGAAAAGGGACAATATTTAAAAAAAAAGGACAATTCTAGACCCTTTACAAGGAAATATAATTGTGCTTTTTGATAAGAAACTGATAATTTAATATTTGATAATATTTGATAATATTCATCTGGAGATTGAATACAGAGGGTTAGGTGTATTTCTGACCAAGTTACTTTGAAGTGACAAGCCATGGGGCTCTCCTCAGAAGAGTTTATATTTTTGTTTCCTTACAGACTTTCACTCTCTACAAGATTAAAAATAGCAGTGAGTTCATTAATTAGCTTTTAGGCTGCAAACACTCCACAAAATCTTATAAATGTTTTTTAAACCACAAACAAGGCTGTGCAATAAGCAAGCAAACTGTACTGTGCATTTGAAAATCAACCAAGGATGGATTTAGAGGCTTAAAGCAACTCTTTCACTGCACTTGTTGGAATCTTTAATTACACACTTCTCTTCATCCTCAGCCATCAGCTGTGATGCTGAACTAGAGAGCTTTGTAAATCCCTGGGTTAGACCGGGTTTGGTGTCACCACACAATTACAGATTTAGCTTATTTCAGGAAGACGGAGCAGCTGGAACACTGCTGAGTTTTGTCAAGTAAAACATGGAATTCTACAGGAAGTTTTTTAATTAGGTTTCAGGCCAACAGAAGCAACTCCTGAATATCCTGGCACTGCTTTGTCTGGGTGATGCTGCCTTGCTTGGGGTTTGCCTCTGGGCTTCATTTTTTAATGACTGACACTTCTATTTAGAGAGTGAATACATGGGAACTCCTTGAAAAGGGAACATTTCTGAATACATTTCAATGTACACAGGCTTGACTCACAAAGTCTGTAACACACAGCTCCTGGTAGTGGCCCCTTCCATTTTATCTCGAGATAGGAGCATTTTCTCCACCCAGAGCACAGGGACTGCTGTGCTGCTGCACTCTGGGCTGCTCTCTCCTCTTAGCTCAGTAAGTGAGGGGTTCTTTTTCCCACTGTAATTTAAAACATCAGACCAAAGCAGGTGTTGTTTTCTGTGTTCAGTTCCCCAGAACAGGCAGAGCTGTTCTCCAGGAGCAGTGAGTTAGGAGCACAGTCAGCAGCTGACAGGTGCCATCCATCACCTTCACAGGAGAGTAACCCTGGAGGGCCTGCAGGATTAGTGCTGGGAACCTCTGGTTTGAGAGGAATGAGCCCCTGGTGGGTAACAATCAAACATAAACACTCCTCCTGCTGTTCAGAATTCTCTAAAACAGGGTAATGGTTGTAATCTTTGCTATGAGCTCTACGCGTTTTGTAACTTGTAATCTCAGCCCTTCATCCCAAGATTAAAGGGCCACATGCTGATACAGAATTTGTGTTCTTGGCTCCTGTTCTCTGCTCAAACTGAGCATTTCACCCTCCAGGAATGTAGTTCTGTCATTTTTTAAATTGGCAAAAAGTGAATGTAACAAAGCAAAAATACGTATTAGCTGAGGGAGCTTTAAATGGCAGGGAAAGGACTTTGGTGTTGACAGATGAGAGGGAATTAGAGGACACACTGATACTGTGGTAAAGACACAGGCTCTTGCAGGTGCTGGCTTACTCAGCAGGGGGGCAGTGGTTTTTTGCATCTTCTTGGAAATTGCTGCCTTATGCAAAGGATCAGGGCTCTGTGAGCTCCCAGTCAGGCTCCTGGGTACCATGGAGCTGCCACAGGCAGTCACTGAATGTGTCTGGATCTCATGTTCAGATCATTTGCACTCATCCTTGGTTAAATAACTGGAAATCAGCAGCAGCTCCCATTTTGGGCTTTGGGGAAAGCCAGTGAAACTTCCCATGAGTGCCTGTGATCCCTCCACACTTCCTCAGTGAAGGTGAATCTAAATGCTTTCCAACTTTTGGAAGAAATCTGAGTTTGAATTTCAGTTTTTCAATGTTCATATTCATTTTTGGACTCTGGGTCCCCTGTGATTCTTGGAAAAGACATTTAGCAGTTGCAAGACTTGCCCACCCTATAGTTTAAAGACAGGCACTGCCCACTCTATGAGACTCTGTGTGAGGTGCTCACAGTCAGAACCAAGGAGAAGACATCTCCAAAACTTTTGGAGATGGCTGATATGAAAATATCACCAAACCCTGCCATCTGCCCAGAGATTATTCAGGCATCTGCCATGCACAGAAATATCTGGCAGAATAAAATAATCCATAAACCTGATCCCAACTGTGACTGATGCTGCCAGCAACCTGACTCTTTGCTGAAGAATCTGCCACCATATCACATGAGAGGTGAGGGAGAGCCTGGTTTTACCCTTCCCCTCCAACCTCACATGGCCAGATGCTGAACCCCACCTTCCAAAAGGGCTTCCCATGGGATCCTCAGGCATGAATTAGTCCCATGTTTTCAACAAGCACAGGAAAAGTCCCTGCCCTGGTCCCAGTGCAGGCACACATGCACAAGGCAATGCTGCCCTCTGCTCTGTCCTCAGGCACTCACTGTCCATGGCTGTGTACAGAACCACCTCAGGGCTCTGAGTCACCCTCAGTCAAACACCATGGAGCACAAAAAGCAAATCTGGCTCCTGCAGGAAGCTGAACAAAATGTATAAGACACATGCTTTGAATTGAAAATGTACTGACAATGTATTATCTACACATGCCCATTTTAAAAAGGAAATGACAGAATTAACAGGAAATAAAGATTATTCATATTAGGCCTTACCCCAACACTAGTAATCAGGTTGATTGCCAAATAGGTCCACAAATACCTTTCTTGTACTCAGTGAAAGTACTTAAGTAGGCAAATACTGCAGGGCCTGGCAAAAGTGGGAGCATTTGGTCTTCTCTGATTCAAAGGTTTATTATTAACAAAACCCTTGGTTGCTCAAACCCCACAAAATGGTTTCAAGTGAACAGTCACACCAGCAGTTGGAGAAAGGCACACATGTGATAAAGGAGAATGAAACAGCTCACTGACGTGTTGAGACACAGCTGATAAGGGAAACAAAAAACCAACCTCAAAAACTAAACCAGTTCAGTCTCAGTGGAAGCCAGAAGCAGCATCTGGTCTCTTTTCTCTCCCAGCATCAAGAAGATGTGTGCAACAGTGCTGAAGATATTTCCAATTCTAGCCATCCTTGCAGGTAAGAATAACAAACATTGAGATGGTGCTGGAACAAAGGAGCCTGTGGGGGTAAGAGAGCAGGTGAGCCTGATTAGCAAACTGGGAGAACTTTGGAGATTAATGATTTCAGGGTGGAATAAAATTCATGGCTATTCTGCCAGACCATCCTCTGGTAATCCACAAACTGACCCCTGCCTGCCAAGAGCTTTTTGCTCAAGAACAGAATTTTAGCTTTGGTATATTAATGCCTTGCTCTGATGTCAGGAAGTGGCAAAGAGCTCTGTGTGGAGAGTTCAGGTCTTTCATGTGTTTCAAGGTCAGGTTTTTCCACATTTGGCTTTTGTCTCCCCTTGATAATAGGGCTGGAAAATGATCCCTCAACCACCAAAAGATTTTGGAGGATGCTTAACTTTAAGCATGCAAAGAATCTTTTAATTAAATGAGGGCATAATACTTTGTGAAATCCAGGAATTTTATGGTATAGTAAAAACTATGTATTACTCATATTTCAAGGGCATTTCATTGTGCTAAGCTTTATGTTTAATATATACAGCAGCAGTCATTTTAATACTCCATGGAGATAAACAGCCCCCGTATCCACTACAGAAAATTAAAATTAGTTTCCACATCTTCTTTCCCAGATGGAATTCTCTGATTTGGGTGCCATAGAAATATTTTAAGTAGCTACTCCTGGAGTTTCAGTGTTCTAACTTTCACACACATATAAACCCAACAGATTTTTACCTTAGATATGAAAAGCAGTTCTGAATTGGTACCATATGCACTTTTCAAAGCAATGTCCTCTAATTTGAAAGTTGTGGATTTAAGATTAGCAATGTGCCCATATTGGTGGACACTACTGACTGAGGGTTCCTGTTGTGGCTCAGAAGAGATCAGCAAACTTGGATTTATTTCATGAGTGTTAAAAACTGCAAAGGACCTCAGTGAAAGTGGGAGATTCCTAATTAACTGTGACTGTGGGAAGGAAAGAGTTTCACTATAATATTGATAAGTAAAGACATGGATCAGCCCTTTTTAACAAGTTATGGTCCTGTTCACACAAGCTGTTTTCAGTGTGTTATTTCTTATTTGTGCACTTTTTAAAATTTAAACCAAAAGGTCTGTATGTAGGAAATGGGATTTGGGGTTGGAAGGCATAAATGCAAAGTGAAGCTGCCACTAACATTCATGGTGAGGAAACAGAACAGGCTCTGTTTCACTCTGCTGTCAGTCAAAAGACCCATGTTGCAATTAGCATTGGTTTAAGCAGCCTTTTTACTTGAGGGAAGATTATTTCAATTAAATGTATTTCTTCAAGATATAGTTTTATGGAAACTAGAATGCTTTGTGGAGTAATTTTTGCAAAAATTAATTTCTTCTGGAAAATCTTTTAACAGTCAGACTCTGTGGCACTCCTGACTCTAAAACCAGAGAATGATAAAGTAAATATGTGGAGCAGATGACTGGAAAATTGATGTTTTCAGCAGAATAACACTGTGTTGAAAGACAGTACCTTTAATCCTGCAAAGAGCAGAAAATAAATACATGTAAACTGTGGCAGAAAACAATCATCCTCTGGCCAACAGTAATTCTTAAAGCTGGGAGCAGTGAACTGAGATACCTAAAATAAGACGGCACAGCTTTTCTATTAGATCTCAGTAAGGATTAAGCTGCTGAACTCACAAGACAAGCAGAACTGGCAGCCAGTCCTGGGATCCCCTTTCCCCAAGGCAGCTTTGACACATTTAGGTCAGGCTCCAGCTATTCCTGTGACACTGTATTGTATGTCTTCACATATAATATAAATCTTGTTGTAGTTTAAACCCATTAATTTTCATCCTAGCTACCATCAACATAGAAAGTATATTATTCCCTTCTTCCTTGCAGTGAGCTTTTACTACTGAAGCCATCAAAAAAAACCAGTTTAGATAGGTTTGCATACTGTATTAACTCATGTATTTGCAATATTTAAATAGATAAAATGACAAAATAGATTGTTTATAAAAAGAAACAATCTATTTTGTAATTTTTAAGTATTAAATATTGCAATGACAAAATAGATTGTTTCTTTTTATAAGCAATGTTTTCTCACACAGGGCTGTTAATTTCAGCAAAATACTCTTTAGTATTACTGCAGATTCTGCTTAAACCCTCAAAAGCAGCACCCCAACAGAAGATGCACAGATCCTGCATTGAGAAAAATATTTTACATCTTTGTCTCAATCATTAATATAAGCAATAAACCCACAAGAAAATTATTATAACATGAAATTCTCACCTTGCCTCTTTTGCATAGGAAGCTCAAAAATGTTTAATGTTTTCCATCCCATTGAAAATAAAAACATTCTCAGTCTGAATCTATAGACATTAGCTTTCAAACTGGACTCAATAACCTGAAATTCAGGCTTATTTTTTTGACAGCTCTCGCTTTGCTGTCATGTGTCATCATGGCTCGTAATTCACAGAGGATAGAAACAGATAAATACTGTGAGGTGGTGCTGGATTCCTTTCATTACTGTGATTGTGTAGTCAAGGCTGATCAGAGCACTGTGGGGAAGGGCTCACAAGTTGTGTTTGCTCCCCTTCTGCACTGAGCTCAACAGAAAGGGTTGATTGAGTTACTAAAGAACTCCCTACAACCCACACAGTAAAAACACTCCCAAAAAGTTTAGTTTGATTTTCCAATGTAATAGCATTGGGAAAAAAAACCAGCTTCTGGAGGTAGACTCTTAGAAACCCAGACAAAACCAAAGTAATTGGCAAAGAAAAGCAGAGAAAAGCTGCTGGGCTCCAGCCTGAGGGATCCAACAGTGCCACCGAGTCCCAGTCAGAATAGAGAGTGTATGGAGTGAGAATACTGGAGGTGATGATGCTCCACAGTGGAGGAGACCAGATATCTAATGAAATAACTGCAAAAAAAAAATCAAAAAGGGCAAGAAAGGTGTAATAGAGGGGTAGACACAGCTGTGAATGAGAGTGCAAAGGGCAAGAAAGGTGTGTGAAAGGGGTAGACACAGCTGTAAATGCGAGTGCAAGCACAGGAGAGCACTGTGAGTACAGACAAAATCTTCAGTTTAACCACAGACTCTTACTGAGAAGTTGAGTATCAGCCAGTGAGAACAAGTAGGGGTTTAGGAACTGTGCTTTTTAAGAATATTATTTGTTGTAAGGGCAAGAGCATTCTGGGGGATTAAGTTGCTTGCTAGCTTTTACTCAGTCGCAGCTTGTTATCTCTGAAATTTCCACACAAAGCACAAGGGAAGCTGTACTGAAAAGGAGAACAGCCAGATCCATGCTAGATTTTGTTCAATAACACAGGAGCAATAATTGCTGCATGGGTCCCAGGCAGCCCCAGCTGATCTGTCCATTCTCCTGCCCACAGGCCACACCAGCGGGGTCGTGGTGACAGTCCCTGAGAAGACAGTGAATGTCACGACAGGTGGAAATGCAACCCTCCTCTGCACATACACCAGTCCTGGAACCCTGGGAAATTTCTTTATTCAGTGGAGTTTTTACAGTGCCAAAGAGAGCCAGCTGCACACCGTAAGACATTTGTTTGTTATTACTATAAATTTTATTTGAGATATACTTAAGTCCTTAAAAGGTCTTGTTATGTTTGATGGGGTTATCCTTACTATAGACCAGGTAATGTTGGGGTTCCTACCCTAGAGATTAAGGACTGGGGTGGAGTGAAATTTAGGGGCAGATGAACTATCTAGGCTCCTACTCCCACTGACATGCCTGACTGCCTTCACAAAGTGATGAGAAAGTACAAAAGCGATTCAGATGCTCAAACAACTTGCTCCAAGTCACACAGGAAGTGTGAAGCAAAGACCAGGTGTCCAAAAATCACACAAGGGCTGCAGCTTCTGCACCAGCTCCCTTTTCTCTTGTCTGGCAGATATTTCCTGCCATTGTGAAAACTGCTTTCCTGGTGAGACGCCCTTGCCTATGACAATGTGTTGTTCCCCATTTAAGGGTCAAATGAGAGCTCCTTGATCAGGCCCTGCCTTTTGGCAGCTCAGTGAGAGGAGCTGTGCATGATGGTGGGCTGTGAATAAATTGAGCAGCAAGTGCTGGCAGCACTCTGCAGAAAGTTGTCATAGCAGGAAATTTGCCACTCAGACTTGCATTGGTATTTCCCAGCATCCCATTGCTGTCACTGTGGGAACAGAACAATTACAGGTCAAGGGCAAATGGGCCCTGCCCTTCCTGAGACCCCAAAAGGCTGCACAGCCAAACAATATCACACTCTAGGGGATAATGAGACTGTAGTGTAGGCTGGAGGATCAGCATGGAGAGGATTGGGAAGGACACCAATACCAGCAGTGACTTGGTCTGAGCCTGAGCCTCTCGTGTGGCTGTAAGGAGCTTGCAGAGCAGCCTGGTCTGCCCCAAAGGGGTCAGGGATGGGATCTGCTTATATGTACTCACACTGCTGCCCAAACCTCAAGAACTATTTGTTAATCTTATGTTTTGGTGGGGAAATGAACCCATGAATTTCATTCCCAGCATAACACAGGGTATGAGCTCCCATCAGCTCAGGCCTGACAGGTGGTGAGCAGTCAGCAACACATTCTTTTAGAAGAAGAAATCCTGATTAGAAGTGTTGCTGAATCCTTGAAGATTATTTGGATTCCTTTTCCATGCCCTGGCTTGTGCTTGTGGAACAATCATTTCCCATTGTTTTTATCCTGTTGCCAACACATTTTTTTTTCTGGTAGTTCAATCCTCCTGCCTGGTGTTACAGCTGAGAGTTGATGTAAAGAGATTTGACTCAGAGGAGTGTCACAGTCCACACTCAGGATATTTTTGTCCTGTTCATTATTATTTCCTAGCAATATTTCAGTAGGAGGCTTGCCATTGCTGATACGGCTGTACCTTCCATTTGGTTTGTCAATTACAGCAGAATTAGCCTGCAATTTGCAGAATGTGCAGGTTGTAATGTATTTGGCATTGAACAGCAATAGTCAAAATGGAAGAAATAGAGATTTAACCCAAGACAGAGCTGCTCACTCACCTGCAGTATATCACAGCCACAGATAAAACTTGTATCAGTGCTAAGCACAAAATCTGGGCCCATCCCAAATTCTGACTCCAGCTGAATGCCAGACTCACGTAGGCACACCTTGGCTGATTGCGTAGCTGAGTAGTTGTTACTCATTGTTTGCTTTCCTCAAGTTAAAACTATTTTATTAAATGAAGAATTATTCCTGAAAGGGTGGTAGCTACAGGTTTCCTAAGTTGCATATAATACAATGTATTACAATTTTGATCCAGTATGTTACGTCTTAAATTATAATTGCTTGTTCAGGTGGGAAGTATAGCACTGACATAGAATCAAGCTCATCTCATCCATTTACTGGCAGCAAATTTTCCATATTGCAGCACACTAAATGCCATATTTTTTTCTGGTCACAATCAAGAGAAATAAGCAGATTGCAGTTATAAGTATTTTAGAGGGAGAATCACACACCTTCAAGAGATCCAGGAGGGGAAAATCATTTGTAAACTGTGGCTAATGATGAGAAAAGTACCCCCTGAAAACTACAATCATAAAATACTGTGGGTGGTTGAGAATACACTCAACAAGAACTACCCAATACAAGACTATCAGATGTCAGGGAAACCCCATGGATCAATCCCCCCAGTGCTCCCTCCTGGCTCCTGCAGCTCTCACTGCAGGCACAGGGAAAGCTGTGCCCATGAGGTCCATGGGAAACACTGCTGGGAAAATTGCAGCAGGATTCCCCCATCTGAAACTCATTTTTTCACACATTTGGATGGCTGTGCTTGTGATGGGTGATTTGCATTTTCATTCCATGAAGTCAGTTCAGTGTGGAAAGGCCTGGGTTAGTGCTAATCCCCCTCTCCTTGAACAGCAAGGCACAATCCCCTGTCCCTGCAGCTCTCCTGGGCTGGCAGGGAGGCTCAGAGGGCTCCTTTGCTCCCTGGGTCCTGCTGCTGTCCCTGGACTGTGCAGGACTGGGCACTGCTCTTTTTAAAACACTTTCAGCAACCCATTCAGTCTTGGATTAATTGACCCTGTATCCTTTCACCACCACCTGGAAATTCCTTCCCATTTTGAACCTATTCACAATAAAAGTAATGGTGTTAAGGCAAACACTGGGGAGAAAGGCTTGTGACTGCTTGTGGAAAATATGGTTTAAGAAATCACACCACACAGCTGAACATAAAGTTGGATTTTCACCCTCCCTCTGAATGAGGCTGGTATTTTTATTTCAGGCTGAGTTTCAGAAAGGACTGGGAGCCTGAAAGCCTGCATGTTTTCCTCTCACAAGTTTAAACAAAAAGATAATCTGTCTACAAACCTGGCTCTGCCCTGGTGGCTTGGCACATTGCTGAATTGAGTTTCACATTTTGTTCCAAGTAGGAAACCTATGCATGAAAATGGAGGAGGTTGCCAGCTTCGGCTTTCATTGTTTAGGTAAAACAATACTAATATGCAATGCAAAAATATATTTAATATGGTAAAATGACAAACAAAACTATATTGGAAAGACAGGCACCATATCTTACTGAATACCAGAACAATAGTATGGTTTGAATTTTAACTGGAATAAAATTATGGTTGAATTTTAACTGGAATAAAATTATTTAATTTTATGAGATATTTAGATTCTTCTAACAGATCCATAACAACTTCCTTGTAAATAGCATATATTTGCCCTGAAAAATTTGTTGAAAATTCTGGCTCTACTAAAAAATTTGCCCTTTTTTTTCAGCAATTAATTGGATAACATTTTCAAATTCCATTTTTGAAAATTGGAAAATTCTGCCAAATATTTTGAAGAGAGGAGACTAGGAAGTTTTGTAAAAAATTACAGAAAATACATCTTTTCCCACCTACTAAATTTTAAAATATTTCTGACCTCTTACTAAATGCTAGATGTCTTGATGACCATGTTATTCACACGGGCACTGTACTCAAAATAGTAAGATTAAGCAGAGGAGATATTCTCTATAACAAATATGTGTGGAAAAAATAATTGCTTTTAATAAATAGTGTTTATTTAAACAACTGAGAACATGGCCCTTTCTCTCTACAGTGGCAACAAGTAACAGAGCAAGCTGTAAATATTATATACATTTATAAACATTATATATAATTAAGGCAAATTTATACCATTAAGGAGCTTTTGGCTTTAAGCATTAATGAATGGGAGTGTTAAATTACTAGATTTTAGGACATATCATATAAAAAGCAGAGGCCATAGGTACCCCTTTACTTTACACTGCCACTTACAGTCCAGATTTACGTTTTGAGATCTATAAACTCAGATACAGTCCTGGAGCGAAATCAGCAATGCCAGGAGCAGGACTAGTGCCAGTGTTAATTTAATGTCCCTAAGTACTCAGCAGCAGGTTTTACCTTGCCACAAGGGCAGGCTGTGCTTTTCTTTACTTTACACTCCTGCTACTGATGCAGATCTGCCTCCCAGCACAGCCTTGGTGAGGTTGGTTTTGTCTTTTGCTGCTTGTGGTGGTATTTCCCTGCCCTGTTGGCTGTGGTGTTTCCATGCCCTGCATGTTGTCGCGTTTTTTTCCATCCCCTGTTTGCTGTGTTGTTTCCCTGCCGTTCTTGCTGTGGTATTTCCCATCTTGGGGTGTTTTCCTGCCCTGTCCTGCCCTGTCCCCTCTCCCCAGGGCTGCCACAGGTGTCACAGCTCCAGCCCTGGCAGTTACACCAGGGGCAGGGAGGAGCCACCACAGCCAGGCTGCTCACAGCAGCACAGTGAAAAGGGGGCAAGCAAACAGAGCCAGGTGTTCACAGTGCTCTTTTGAAGACAGCACAGCTTTAGTGAGTGAATACAAAATTTTTTTCTAATTGAGCCTAACACTGCTCTTTTCCTGAGAAGTTTCTCTAGCAGAAGTAATTTCCCTCACTTGAACTTAATAATGTAAGTATAAAATTATGGAAAATAGGATGCCATACATATTTTTAACTTTTTATTTTTCCCATTTAGCCCTTAGCAATATGCCCTTTAATGCTGCATTTAAGTTTGAAATAAAATTTCCAGCCAAGGATCTTGAGAACTTTCCAGCACTGAGTGATCTCTATTTCACATCTCCACAAACTGAGGCTAACGCAGCTCTGCTCACCCAGGGTCCAGCACAGCCTGGCCTGGTTCATAAGGCAAAGCCCAGCTCCTGCTCAGACCTACATCTGTGCTTCATTTCATGCTCTGAGTCACCTGGCTGGCCCCAGTGTAAAGCACCTAAGTAAATGTTTGCAATCTGAAGCCTCTGTTGACTCTTCACAGGTGAGGCTGCAGCCTTGCAAAGCCAAATCCAACTCCTGAACCCAGCCTGGGCCACACCTTGAGCCTCAGTCCAGGCCACCCACAGCTGAAGTCACTGAAATGCTCAGGGACACTGCCTGGCCAACCAAGATGTGCCCAGGGCAGGATTCTTGATTGAAATTTTAAATTCACTATATGAGTAAAGGTCATGGATGCCTGTTACTTTTAGGCAAAACAGAATTATTGAGAGACTTCTTATGAAAATCTTCTCCAAACAACGTGAACTTGTGGCACATTGGTCAGCAACAGGGGACAAGGAGGGAAAGCCCAAAGGAGGAAAGAGGCAAGAAAAGTGACCTGAGCACAGATGTGTCAGCTCCTTCCACCCTGACACCCCAAATTCAGATTATCAGTAGTCCCAATAGCAGCACAGCTCTGCTGCCCAGCACAAGGCAAGGCACAGCCATGGGCACTGGGCCACCCCAGGTGAGAGGCAGAGAAGGGCCAGCCCTGTATGTGGGGGTTTCCATCAAAGCCTCTGAAAGAACAAATTCCCCTCCATGTAGTCTGAGCAGTTCAGGGGACACCTTCACACACTTTGAGCCACAAGACACCTGAGATGCTCCCGCAGAGCTGTCAGTGCTGCAGGGGACACCAGCTTGGGAGCAGAGCAGTCCATCCCAGCCCATGAGAAAGATGAGCCTGTGGGAAGCACCTCCTGAGACAGTGCAGGAAAACTTCCTGGAAAGAAAGGGCCTCTCTCATCCATAAGCATCTCCTTTTGCCTAGAGCTGATTGTTTAGAACTGAGTTGTATCTAGCACTTGGATGGCTGAGCAGGCACTGTAAGGAACAGCTCCATGGGGAGCAGAGGCAGCACCTGCAGAGCAGAGGGATGGAGCTGCTGGTGTTTGTCACTGCCATTGGAGTGACTCTGGGTGTCAATGGGACCATGGAACACGTGTCACTGCCATTGGAGTGACTCTGGGTGTCACTGGGACCATGGGACATGTGTCACTGCCATTGGAGTGACTCTGGGTGTCACTGGGACCATGGGCACTGCCTGTGGCTATCACAAAGTGCAGACAAGAAGAAAATAATCAGGCTGTAACTGGGGTGTTTGTAGCAAACATTAGACTTTAATCTTCGTGTTCCTAATTTTAGGTAGAATTTAGGAATAAGCTGATTTCACCTTGTGGCTGACAAGGCCTGAGGTAATTTCTGCACAAGCACTGAACATGAGGCACCTGCCCTCATGATCAGCATGGATGGTAGGTGGGGAGCTGTGTGAGAAATGGCTCTTTGATTTTGGGGGAACATTTAAAGTCTCATTTAACTCTCAGATCAGCACATTTTTACTCAAATGCAGCATTCCCCATGCCATGGTATTCTGAGTATGGATGAAAAGTCAGTCAGTCTTTGTCAAAAGACGGTGTATGTGACAGATGCACGGGGAAGATGTAGCTGGAGATACAAGGTAAGAAAACAATCCCCATAATCTTAAGGGGGAAAGAGAGCTAAATAGCTTCTACTAGATGTGTGCTACTGTGAAACCTGTATTCATATTCTGTATTGAAATCTGAAAAGCCGCACATGACTGAAATAAGTTGAATTGGATGCATGATCCAGAATTTTTAACTCACCCTATTTTTTATTGCATTTTTTCTGTCAAAATTATTTTGGATGTAGCTTTTGTGTTGGGGTTTTTCCTCCCCACCTATTCTAGGTGACTGAACTGGCACCTTCAGGAATATTCTACCCAAAGGGTATCTGTAGGGTGTGTGCACCCACAAGGATCCTCTGGGCTGAATGTGAGCCAGACTGGGCAGCCCAAACTTGGGGCTACATATTTGCATAGAAAAAAAAATCATCCTGGATCTTCTTTCTAGAATATAAAACCATTTTGAGATGTGGTGGATACCAAGGACGCTGAGCTGAACCAGCTTCCTCTCAGCTGTCAGCTCAGTGTTCCAGCCCTAATCCATTCCAAACTCTCTGACTGCAGCAGGGTTCCCATCTCACCATGGGGTACAGGGTACAGCCTAATGTGAACTGGCATCTAATAATAACTGCTGAAGGGCAGTTACACCAAATGCACTGAGAAAACACATTTGTTCTTGGTGGGAATTATTCACTAAAAGTTCAGGCTCAAGAATGATACTGTGAGAACATGAAAGAGCTGCTCCTTCAATATATTTGCATCAGTTAAAGCTGCTGAATGATTAATCCTCTAAAGGCTTCTGACTCCCTTTCTTCTTCTACCAGTGCACTATTGTGACAAGACACTTGTCATTATTAATACCTCCAATTCCCTGTGCAAAAAGCCCAGTAAGGGATATCCCTGTGATATCCCTACTACCTTCTGGCAGATCAGAGTTTTGACAAAAATGTGTGAAAAGAAGCTGTGGATGAAAGAAGAGATTTGGGCCCAGACTCAGTCATGTGATGTGTCAAAGAAACCAACACATGTGTGAACATTTGCTTTCTTAGCTAGCTGAGCTCAGAATCTGAGCTTTGGGCCTTCATTAACACTCTGACTGTGTGGCATTTGTTCTCTCATTAGATGGTAAGATGCTTAAGGAAGTGATGAACATTTTCCCCCTTGTTATTTTATAAATTCTGTCTGTCCTCAAAATTCAAAAAGAGATCACAATCTCAAACAAGTGAAGTTCTTAATATCCTCCATTTTCTAGTAGCTTGAGAAAATGTCAAACAGAAAATGACAAGCAGCCCAATGACAGGGCCCTCTGGATGCTGGAGCTTTCCAGCTCTCCAGACAAAGACTGAGTCACACACTGAATCCATCAGAAAAACATCATCCAACAGGATCCTAGAGCTTCACATGTGCTGGAAAGGGAGAAGAGGCTGGGGGAGGAAAGACAGGTACTGGAAAAGAGGTCATGTCCTGAAAGTGTCTTCCAGTCAGGAAATCAGGATTCTGTGGAGATTAGCAGGACACTTTCAATGCCTCTCCAAGTGCATCTCATCACTCTGATATCCATAAGTACTGGATAATGGGCATGTAGAGCATTGTGATGCAGAGACTCCAGGAGATGGGGATGGGAGGAGTATTGACCTGGAAATTATGAAGGAGTCCATCAAAAGTCATCTGAAAGACACACATTTACACAAATTCTAGTATATATTTGTCCTGCCAAAAGAAAAAGAGAAGCAGAGAGAGGCATGTTTCTTCTAATTTCCTGCCTGCTTCTTCACACACCCCCTTCACACCCTAAGGAAGATTTTTCTACGGAAGTTGTACAACAAAAACCTGTAGGTGGGTTCCTCACACTCTGCTGAACATCTGGCAGCTTTTCAAAGTCCTCAGCTCAGCCTCAGCTCTGGTGACTGCTTCCTCTGCAGGCAAATATATTCCACACCATCACTGGGAGAAACTGCCTGTGGACATGAAGGGTAACCAGAGCCCTGGTTAGGATGGCTGGGCAGCAGCTCTGGGCACTGCCTGGCCACAGGTTGAACAACCAACTAAACTGCAGCCCTTTCTAAGGTCACAAATGTCTCCTGGGCAACTCTGCTGTTCAGCAGGAACTAGAGTCTCAGATTGTGAAGTTATTAGGGACAACAGTTTTAGAAGTGATAATCTCCACTCCTTCTTCTGTCAGTTGTTTGATAAGTCATCCAGGCAGCTGCTTCCAGGAAATGTGAAAAGGCACCATTTTATGATAACTTGCCTGAACAAACTAGCTGGTAAGGAGAAGCAACAGCCATTAATGCACCCTCAATATTGTTTCTGCTCTGGTAAATCATCAACTTCACCACAGCTGCTCATGATTTGCTTGAGGACATGAAAAGCTTGTTTGAAGGGAAGCATAGCAGATTTCTTTTGTATTTTTTTTTTGCATTCAAGATGGTGTACTTGATATATATTTATCACACAAGATTAAAAAGATTTCCATTGACTAAATGCACAGTTTTCTCTCTTTTAGGTAATATGGAAAGAAAAGTCAATGATGTGTGTCTGTAGGAGAAAACATTAGCTGGCAGTTGCCCAAAACCAGAATGTTTTCCATAACTTCAAGAGGAAACAATTTTTTTACTTTTGAATCAAAACAGAAACACTTTTGCAAAGATTTTCATTTCAGTTTTCTGAAAGCCACAAACCAGCTTTTCAAGGACAGCATAAAACCACTTTGAACCAGGGTTTAAAATATCCATTTTGAGTGTATTGTTTAAAATGGACTATGAATTCACTGCCAATTAACTGAAACATATTCCTCTTAAATGAAATTTCCTGTGTACACAGTCCAATCATACCTCTGGGACAAGAGATACACTCAGCAATTAATCAGAACATTATTCAGCCTTTTTGGTGTTTACCACCTTCCTTCAGGCAATGAACTCCAGAGCCAGGGAGATAAGCAGGGAACAGGAGAGAACAGAGAACAGGCAGGAGCCTGCAGAGGAGCTGAACACATTGCCTGAGAATGTTTCACTGCTTTGTGTTCATGGCTGACAGAAAGTGACCCAGTAAGAAATTCTGTTTGAATCTATGAAGAGAAGAAATATCTCTGCTGTGTTGACACCTGCCTCAGATTGAACAGCATACACAAAATATTTTCTCTGCATTCATTGACTCAGAAGAAGAGAACACAGGATTAGTTTTTCAGTGCATTGTATGAGGACTTGAGCATGTAACTCACCCTGACTGCAGGTCAAATACACCAAGGAGCGCTTGCTCCTCTGCAGGATGGCATGCCCTGACTGCATTTACAACTTGCAGTGCCAGTCTTATTCCCAGGAAGATGAGTTGTGTCTAGATGAGCATTCCATGGACCTCTTCTGCTACTCTTTACTCTCACATAATTCCAGATCACTCTGAGATAGATTGAGTAGAATTTAGCCCCTTTGTCCAACAACCAAGCCTTTAATAGGGTGTGATGGGCCTGACACTCCTCTCATGCTGCAGCAAGACACACATTACCTCATTTAGATTGTTGTAGAGCTTAATGTCACATTAGTGTAAGGAGCTGATGGAACCCCTTTCACTGCCCTACTCCAAGAGTGCAGCTGGAGAGGAGATGGAAATCCAGCCCATCACTTTGAGAGCTATCCAGGAACATCAGCCTCAGAAGAGGCTGAAGTCAGAAGTCACAGTTCTTGTAACTTCAGACTCTTGCAAGAACAGTGATAAATAATACTCAGCTATTGCTCACACTCAGATAAATGTAGAATGAGACTAATGTGGCACAGTGTGTTTTTTGATTCCAGGTAGACAACTTTTTTGATGAGTGATTTGTTTAAACCAAACTCCCCATTTTGAACACTCTCCTAACCCAGGGAATACAGTTTGTCCATCCAGACTCTGGTTTGGCAGTAGAGTTCCATCTCTAGACATTTGCAAAGCACAAAATCTGTTTTAAAACTGATGGTATTGCATGCACACAATGGAAACTGGGAGCAGTATCCAGCTTCAGCACTTTCTAACCAAGTCTGTAATCGAGCTGACCCTGGACCTCTTACACTTCCCCAGTGTGCCAGCAGTGTTCCACACCTCGGGAATGCTTTGGTGTTCAGAGCCCTGCCTCAATTGTACCTGGTGTTTGTAATCCTGGGGCAGGGAAAGATAAAGTCTGGCTGAGGAGTATGCAAAGCTGCTCTTGAGAGAGGGCCAAGCTGCAGCCCTGGAGCTGCTGGTGCTGTGCAAGCTGATTCTGACCTTCATTCCAAAGCCAAATCTTTGCATAAACCAGCTGTGCTCTGACAGTTTTGGAGTGTACCTTGCTTTAAGCTAATAAAGGCTTTTAGATAACATTTCTTAAAGACTTCAGTCAACACCGTATCAGGGAGGATAAACAGAATTAAGAATTAATATTCTTAATTCAAAATGCAATCAGTTGATCTGTGAAGTAAAGCAAATTGTACTTCTCACCAGGAATCTGCAGTATCCCTAAAAGGCAGGGAACTTTGACCAAAAGGAAATTTTGATACCAGTCAAGTGAGAATGGCCTGTGAAGAGGAGTCTGTGAAACTTTTTCCTACAAGCATTTTCCCACTATTTCCATTAAAAACATGCTGTTACTTCAACTTCAGTGATGATTCTGAAATACTGCCAGTAGGAACAATGTTAGATCTATTTGGGTCACAACCTATAATTCTATATGGACACCTCTCACAAGTTTAGAGAAGTGACTGAGTGTGCTGGAAGCGTTCACTCTGCCTAGGGTGTGTATGTAGACACAGGGGAACATATTGCCTACCCAAATACTGTCACTTTCATACAACACTATCATTAACACCTCAGAAAACAATTAATGAATTGTAGTTTTCCACATCTTTGTTCTTTCAGATCTTGGTTTCAGAGCAGAGTTAGCTTGGACAGAGGGCAGGTACTCCTTGAGAACTACTACACTTACCCCAGGGCAGATGAGATATTGCAGTTCCTAAACAGACTCAGGCCGAGGCCCAGACTGCCATCCAGGCTCTGCAGTGAGCACAATTCTACCTCTCCTCTCCCTCAGCAGACAACAAGTTTGGACTTATGAGGCCACTTCTACTCCACAATGCCGCTAAGAGCAGTTGATGCTACTGAAGTCAGTGAAATCAGTCAATGTTAAATCAGCAATTTTTATTTGGGAGGAAATGCTGCATTCCTTAGAAACATTTATCCTTACTATGCCTATCATTTGGCAAACCATTTTTTTACTATTTAGTAAAAGGGGAACTTACTGATCCCAAATAGGAACTCCCCAAGCACTGAGGCCAGCAGGTGTTCTTTACTTCCTTCCTGATATAAATTCTAAAAGCAAAGATAGTCCATGACACTGCCTCCAAAGCTGATGACACAAACAAGAATAGCATGGCTGCTATAATTGCATGTGTGATGACTCTGCTCTGTTCTTGTACTGCATCCTCATGGCTTTCAAATTTACTGCCAAAAGATCAGGTGCCTTGTTTGCTTAGACCTTTGTCTTGTGAATTCATTTCAGTTCTCTGTTTGTGGAATTTTACAGAATCCTTTCCAGATTCTGTATCTGGAAAGTTCTGGAGTCCCCCACTTTTTCCAATGACAGATCCATATAATCTTGTCATAATCTTCTACTCAGCCTCTTATTAATGCTATTACAAATTATCAGTGCTTCACTAATACCATTATTCACTGTGCATGACTTAGCATTTTTTCACAAAATTGTAATTTGATGGTCAACGGTCTCACTTTTGTTTTTGCAATTGCATCAGTCTGTGCTTGGAGTATGCATAAAGATTTAGCCACTGTCAATTACACAATTAAAAATACCATTTCTGAAAAGCTTGTTTTTTAAAGACCTTTAGAAGTATGTATTCAAATGTAATATGTTTTCATTTCTGCTTTCTTGGGGGAGGAGGCAAGAGAAGGGGGGATATTGCTTGGCTTTAATCAGAAATCAAATATATTCTGAGTACCAAACAAAGCAGCAAGAAGATCTTTTGTTATTAAACTAACAATTGTTTCTTTATCACAGATCTATTATTATTCAGGAGGCCAGTCTTACTCCTATGGAGCATTTAAGAACAGGATAACAGCTTCAACAAGTCCAGGGAATGCATCAATAACAATTTCCAACATGCAGCCCTCAGACACTGGCTCCTACACCTGTGAAGTTTTCAGCCCTCAGGGTGATGCTGGGCAGAGTCAAAAATCTGTGGTTGTCAATGTGCTGGGTAAGTGCCTCCCCTCTCTATTGCTGTATTGTCTTTTCCATCCCATATTATGAAACACTGAATTCACAGCTCCAAGTACGTAGGGCCAGAGGGAATAACAGGCTGTGGTAAACAAGGCCCATGATGCAGAGGGGGAGCTCCCTGAGTCACTGCCGCAGTTTCCAAGGGCTCTGGAGGCAGCAGAGCCTGGCTGCCCTCTAGCTTCCAGCCACAGCTCACCTGCTCCCACTCCACAGCTGCTCTGCCTCAGCTGCAGCAAACCTCACTCTCCCAACACTGCCCTTCAGAGTCACTTTGTGCTCTCAAAAAGTTCCCTTCTGTAAGCAGGTAAGAGGGTGGCTAGAACTACCCAGCTTTGCTCCATTTTTCATACTGGAAATCAAAGTGATACTAGTTTTGGTGAAAATAAAACACCATTTTAGCTGGGAGTGACAACTTCTCACTGAAACCACTTCATGCAGCCCCAGCAGGGTCCAAAACTTTGCTAATTGTATCTAATGTTGATCATGGTGACTTGCATAAATGTAGGGAGAGGCAGCAGCACAGCCCAAGAGTTCTGACTCACATCAATTCCCAAAACCTCTAGAAATTTAGTATTTGTTGGATTAAAGTAGTACAAAGGGTTTTTTTGTGTGAAAGAAAGCAATAATTCAACAATGAACAGGCAGAATAGAAAGGATGAAAAAGCAGATGAACTTGGCATCATTTGCCTATCTTCCAGGGATAAGCAAAAGATATATGTAAACTGATTTCCTGAAAAACCAAAGTACTACTGATAATTCTCATCTAAAATTCCCAAAACAAATGGTAAATCTTGGACCAGTTGAATAAAAGATTACACTTTTTACTTTCATTGCTGGTGGTTTCCCTTGACAGCACTCTAAAGAGCCACAAAAGCATTTCTGGAGTAGTAAATGAAAAACAATTGGTGTAAGTGAAGACAGAATCTTCCCTTTTGTGCAAAATGAGGACATTATATAAAAATGGATACATTTTTTAACAGAACTATAGCTGATTTATTTCCTTCACAACTGTTAAAATACTGAAACTGTCAGGCCTTGATTCTTTCCCTCTCTGTGGAAAAGCTCCTGCCATGTCTCTAAATAAAATGATGTTGCTATGTAGCAGAATAGTGTACGGTGAATAGTGAGTAGTAGTGAGTGAAAATAATTGATAGTTGTATTCTCAACACCTTCCTAACAGTTAATATGCAAATGAAAGAAAATAAAACTGTATCCTAGGCCATGTACATATATTTAATATTACTCAATTTTTTTAATGGGAGAGGCTTTGGTCAGTTCCATAACTGAGACTCTGCTCTTGGATGGAAACCTGTAGATGGGGTTCAGCTCTTTGCTCACAGCAGCTTGGTACCAGAACTTGAGGTGGAAGTTTGCAGCCCAGATGTTCACTCCTGATGTGTCTGTTCTTATTTTGCAGTCAAACCATCAAAACCTTTCTGCAAAGTAGAAGGAACCCCTGAGAAAGGCCATCTGATCTACCTCCTATGCAATTGTGAAGAGGGGTTGCCTCGCCCCACCTACCGCTGGTACAAGGTTGATGAGAACACCCTCAAGCCTGTGGGAGAACAAATTGGTATGTAACCACAGGACTAACACACCATATTCAGAATCTGAAATTCCAGCATTCCAAATGCTGTGTATCACCCAGGCTAATTAAAATTAATCCTCCTCTTCCAATAGTCAATGTCACAGGATCATATTTTTACTTATTCAAATCAACTGACAGCTGTCAAAACCACAGGATGCTTTTTCTATTTAACATATATATATTTTAAAAAGTTGAAGTCCTGTCCATGCCTTTAAGTTGCTAAAATGAGAGAAATATGTATGTCTTTACATATCTCTTCCCTTGAAATTTTGAGTGAAGTTGAATCAATTTGTTATTCAAGTACTAGCACATCCTTCCCTCCCAGAAATTTTCTGGACCTGTTACATTTTCATTTGTGGAGTAATAGAGACAACCACAGAATCAGTGTGGGTAAAACATCAGCCAGACTGGTTGGCAGACTAGGGGCTTCTAATACACCCCTAAAGAATCCACTGGAGCAATTTTTAAGGAAGGTAAATGTTTTATTTTAAAGAATTAAAAAAACCGCATGAATAAATCAATAATTGGTGAATCCTTTTTCTAATATCTGAATAGCTCTGTGTTACCCACTACAGAGAACTGTTTGCCTCTACAGAATACAAACAGTAATGTGTACCTGCTCCCCATCTGTCACAGATCCAAACTCTGGCATCCTTTACATTGGCAACCTCACCACCTTTGAAACTGGCTACTATCGGTGCATAGCCAGCAACCAGCTGGGGAACAGCACCTGTGAGCTGGACCTAACAGCAAAACGTGAGTAAAACACACCAAAGCAATCACACCTTTGAGGGAGAACATGCACAGCTTGCAGGAAAATTCTTCAACAACTTTGAAGCTTGGATTTTTTTTTTTTTCAAGTAAGAACAGAACAGGATTTGGAGAGCTCTGGACTTTTCATCCAGGCCTGCCCAGGCTTTATGATGACCTAGAAAACTGATTCAACATCCTCACCTTAATTTCCTGCAAGGAGCAGGAGCTGGACCTGGTTCTGACTGCAGAGTCTTTGCTGAGAACAGACAGACAAGGAGTTTTGAGCAGTTTCTTCCAGCCAACAGCCCCACTGAGGTCTCCCCACCCCAGAAATTACAACCATCAGTGAAATGTGGCAGTACAAGCACCGGGGCACTGGAGATGTGACCACTAGCTGAAAGACAGAACTAAAGGCAGCCTGGATTTCAGGATGTGTTTGCAATGATTGAAAAGCAAAGGCTTTTACCAGTTGTCAGTATTACAGCCCAATGATTCCCTTAGCCAGGCACAAACAGGGAGTTTGTTGGGATTGGGAGCAACCCAGTGAGAGAGGAGGCAGTAAAAAACCACCCAAGCACAGGGCTCTCACTTTCCTGGAGCATCCTTGGCCACCCTCCTGCAAAGAGTTCTTTGAATCCAATCCCTTCTTTCTGCTAAAGGCTCCTGCACTAAATTTCCATGGGATTTTGCTATACTACTACTTTATAAAAAGTAATTTTTTTTTCTTTGCAGATTCAGATGGTGGTATTGTTGCTGGAGCACTGATTGGAGCAATTCTGGCAGCTGCTATAATCTGCATTATTGTCTGGGTCTTAACCAAGAAGGCAAAAAATAGGAAATCATCAAATAATGAGATGCAGTAAGAATTTCTGTTTACTTCATTTTAAGACAATTATTTTTGTAAAGCGCTGCTGTAAAGAACTAAAGTGAAATGCATAATACAAGTTTTGAGAAAACTTCCAGCGTGAACATCTGCTTTTGGGGGATTTTTACCTGTTGCTCTTTTAACAGAAGGTGCCATTGCCCTCTTCCCTATTTTAACAGGCAGCTTCCACTTAGCAGCATCTGAAACAGCGAAGTAAATGTTTTTAAACAACACAAACTAAAGTGGCAAGTTATAAAAACAGCTCTTTAGAGTTAAAGTTAATGGGGTCTGTTAAAAGCAGGTGGAGAAAGTAAAAAAAGAAAGAGCAGCTAAGGGTCACCTCAGGAAATTTACTAATATTTAAACACATAGGGCTCAGGTCAGTGCTATCTGAAATTACAGGACACACACTTAGGATACTCCCAGGCATCTCAGATTGCAGGAAACACAAGGTTTAGACAACAGAATGGAGCTCAGAATGTCCATTTTGATACTGTCCTGGAGATGTTTTCTTCTCTGTGCTTTGGTTGCTCATTTTTCCCTGTAATTGCCAAATCTTCAGAATAGGGATAATCTCATGCACTATGTAGACTGTACTCAGCCCATTGATGTAAAATACTAAATAACTACATACAGTTGAGGCCAGAAAAAAACTGACTTCCCTGTAGCACAGGTTTAAGACTTCCTAATACGGAATTCTGCTAACCCAGACCAGTGATCAGTCACTCATGCCCCTGATTTCAGCTTTCAATTGATGCAGCATTAACACCTAGTTTTGTACTTGGATCCTAATAAATCTTACTGCATTGAATGAATCCACTAGCATCTGATATTTTTTACCATGTGAAAGTGCTTCAGTATTGGGAGTGGGTTGATTATCGTTTTGATAAGATAAAAATATTTTTACTAAATGTTATTAAAAATATTTTTCTAGATTTCCATATTTTCTAAAATACTAAATATGTTTTATATGACTTTTCCAGATTTCAGTCTTTTCATAATTCTTTTCTGACTGAACTCTATTTTTCATGCACTTCAATGGGACCCCAGATGTACATGGAATTTCCCAGAAAGCTCACATGAAGCAGCAGGTTTTGCTATCACACCTCAGATGCTGCCAGCACTCAGTTTCCCTTTCCACTTCCCTGGCACAACATTTAAACATACTAAAATCTATTTTATTCAAAAGGGATCACTTAAACAAGCAATGCAGATGTCTTTCTAGCTAATATGCTGTCAGTCTCTCTGTCTCAGACCAGTGGTGTTGTAACCTTTTCACACAATCTTGAAACAGTCATCCTAACATCTGAGTCACTGTTCAGATAGCAAATACAAAGATTCATTATTTTGAAAGACTCCAGTATACATGAGATTTCAGCATGTGAGATCACAATCCTAATCCTGTCTTTCTGCAGAGAAATGGTTCAGAAACAATCCAATGCAGACTATGTTCAGGTACCCAATGAAGAAAACATTCCTATGACCACAGTTCCATCAAGCAATGCAACAAATGAATACCCAAGTGTTGATGAAACAGCAGCTCCTGCAACACCTGAAAATGAAGAGAAGCAAGAAGCAGGAAAAGAAGAAACAGCCTAGAGTTTATAATAGAGTTTTCTTTGTCACCTTTGGACCCCTTTGTACAAAAATTGTTGTCATTGAATTAACATAGAAGCATGACTAAAACTTGTATTCAAGGCATTTGTATTGTGACCCACTGGGGTGGATCAAAAAGAGTCTGTTACACAGGCACTTTGTAAATACCAGAAGATTTGGGCCTTTAAAGTGAATTAAATTTCTTTTATTATCTAGTTATACTGTACAAAAATTTACGTATAAAAAGAGTATCATCAACATCAACCTATTTTGCAAAACTAATTAGGAAATGGGCTGAAACATTTGTAAAGAGCTTTCCAGTGAACTCCCAGTAATGCTGTGTGTGCACAGAGTTCAGAAGCACAGCAGCCTTGTCCAGAAACAGTGTTAGCCAGCCTGCTTCATATGCACCAAGTAATCATGGCCAGTACATTGCAGTGTTTCAAGGAACTGATTTTGCACATCAGAATTAAAAGCAGGTTACATTATTGTCATCAGAATGCTGAAACATCTGTCAACATCTTAACAGATGTTAAGACCTGAGTCAAGGTAATCTTGCGTGTCTGAATTCCACCTAAGCTAAAAAAAAAAAACCCTGGAAAATTTTACCCCGTTGCTGCCTGACATGGAAAACATTCTGTCAACAGTGACCTCCTTGGTCTAAAGCTCCCAAGGGTGCCAGTGTTCCAGAGCTGTCTGTTTCAGCAATTCTGATTTTCAGTTTAATGGAACTGGCATTTGGGTACTCAGCAGCACATTCCTCATGACACACAGATAGAGCTGCTTTCAAAACTTAGAAGTGACACTGCCTTCTATACAGCACACGAATCTTGATTGCTTCCTCTGTCTGAGATGATGCAAATCTCTTTCCAGGCTAGTCCTACCCACTAAGCAATATACTCAGGCTACTTTTCTTCTGTTCTCTTATCCCAGTGTACCAATCTATCTTCTGCACGTGAAAGCATCAAGAGGGAGGTAAGTGGTGCACAGCACACCAGCAATGACACTGAGAGCAGCAGTTGAGCCATGAGTGCCCCCTTGGAAGAAGAAAAGGGAATTAAACCATACACATCTGGGTCACCAGACAATCCTTCTCCCTGGGCCTCATTTCTAAGGTTACACAAACTCAGTTTTTCATAAAGGCAAAGATAACCCTTCCAGAAAAGCTCAAGGACCATTTGCTCAGGCAAATGCAGACCCACAGCCTTGCTGATACAGGCAGACACTGCTTTCAGTCTCATGCACTGCAGCAAAACATATCTGGCTCAGGGATCTCAAGTTTTTTGGCACTTAAGTCTTTCATAGGATCTAATATTCATAAATCCTTTGGTGACTGTTCCTAGACTATAAGCATTAGTTATATGCAACATTTATCTTTAAGATTTCTGGGCTAAAATTTTCAGCTTCAGTTCCTACAGCTCTAAGTATGTTTTTCAAAATAGTGACTTTAAAAAATATATATAAAAGGAAAAAAAATAGTGGCAATATTTAAGGATGTAAGGCATGAGATCCTAGTTAATATTTATTTTGGATCTTCAAGCATAATTGTATTCATTGCTCTTTCCTCAGTTTTCTGACTTCCAAATATTTTTGTTTGATAGGTGCATCCCATCAAAGTGTTAGCTTCATTCCAGACTAAAATAGAATTAATGGTATTCTTCTAACACTATTTCAGCCAAAAACTGTTTGTGCCAGTCTGTGAGGGTCACACCCTTGCTAATACCAATATTGCCACGTTGTAGCAGTGGATCCTCAGACTCCTCTCTCCCCAGAATATCCAGGGTAAATCTCAAATTGGGATCTATACAGAAATCTCCTTAACCAGGCAGCTCTTATTGACTCTGTGCCAGGCCAAATTCCTCCCTCACATCCTGCCACCCAGGTTAAGCAGCTTACTGAAAATATCTGATATTGACAGCCAATTTGTGCAAACCTGCAGGATGATGACATTAAACACACTCAGAAGCAGCAAAGGAACAGTCAGTACCACCTGCTGCTCTTTGGGTGCTATTTCTTACTGAAGGTGTTTCCTGATGATATAATTCAAGTCAATTATTGGTCCAAAGGCTTGGCTGACAGCAATAATTTAAAATACTTTATGTGACATTCCTAAGCATTCTTTTATTCTTGCCCTTCATAGGAAAAGATTAATGGCTTCTTGTCACTGCTATAGCTGCTTTAGCTCTTCTAAAGCCATTTCCTGCATGTATGTTCTTGTCACATTGTTCTTACTGCTACACCTTTCCAGCTTCCACACCTCTGCACAGCACTATTGGGATTCAAGAGGGGACTCTATCATGTGGTCATATTTCTTTTAATCTTTCCTCCATCTCACTTCCCACATTTATCTGCTGGTATTCCTTACCTAACTTGCTACAGTAAGATAGGAGCTTATGCTGGTGAAGTTGTCACTAACTTCTGTAGATAGTACAGCCTTCCTAGAACACCACAGCTTTTATATTTGTTCAAAAAGTAGAAATTGCTCAAGTTGTGTTTAAGTTTTTATATAAAAGAAAGGAACAATTCACCACATTCTTGACTAATGACTCCTCTCATACTTCCAACCACCAGTGAGTAATAGATGGTAACAAAAAGGCAAAATAAGACTCAAAACAGGCTGCTGGGAGTAAAGAGATAAGGAAAATAACATGTATTGGAAAATAACATGTATTTGGAGTTTCTTACCATAGTGTGGTGTTTTCTGTAAGCCTTCTGTCAGACGTTTGTTCTCATTTTGGTGTTTATCTGAAATTTATTAAGAAGGATGGGGCACCATTCCCAGCTCCTCACTGATACTCTTGGCAAAGCACAGGTCCAATTAGGTACTGATCCACGGTGTGCAGCTCTAACACCCTGCAGAGCTATGCAGGATGCACAAACATTTTTCAGAATAAGCTTTAGATACTCCAACAGTCTGTGCTGCATGGCCCATTTATCTTGCCATAGGGAGTAGGGATCATTTATATGGGCATCAGAAACTAAGCCAACATTCAAGCTACCATCTCCTAAGGAAGCAGATTTACAAAAAGCTACAGAGCAGGGGTTTTGCTATGCAAACACCAAGAATGAACACAGAACTCTTAGCTTCAGCTGCCCTCCAATTAAATTTTCAGCCATGCCTGTGCAATATATAAGAAACATTTACTCAGCCAGGTTCCTCCTTCAATTAAGGTCTGCATGGGCAGAGTTTACTACACAAGTTATCCCTCCTGCTCTTAATGAGTCCCCTCAATGAAATTTAACCTGCATTTTGTGTTCTAAGATGCATTTAAAGTCCTTGGTGAAGGTATTTGTATGGTTGTAAGTTTCTGTCTTGCTTATCAAAATAAAGTGCATTACCTTAATCCCTACAAGTCAAACTGTAGAAACCGCCAGCTTGCATTTCACCCTTTCCTTGAGGCTGAAGAGCAAACATGTTGCATTTCCATTCTGTGTAACGGATGGCAGGGTTTCATCTTGTTGCTCACATCCCAAACACACAAGCTATTTAGAAAATACTGGTTTTCTTACATGTCAGTTTAATAAAGTTTTATAATACAAAAGACTGTTGTTTAGGAAAGTTCTTTATTTCACAGAATTTCACTCTTTGTTCAAGTGGAACTCTATCCACCAGTGTCAAAAATTATCTTAACAACATCAGGACAGGAGGTCACTTTTCAGGCTCTACTTTGTTAGCTCTGCCTTGTAATAACTTAATATCAGGATTTGCTATGAGTAAATAAAGCTTAAACCAGGCTTCTGTTATAAAATAAGATGGTAAACTGCAAGTGTCAGTGCTGCATATGGGAGTCAAAGAGAACAGAAAAAGAAACCTTCAAAAGGAACAAGAAGAAAAAAATTAAAGTTGAAGTACGTCCCAGAGGACTATCCAGAGCCATCCATTATAAAACAGTGTATTTGCAGAGGTAACCCTGAAACTGTGCCTGCATTCTGCAAGCAGTCCAGTGCACTTCATCAAATACATGTATTAAAGCCTCAGAGAAAAACAGGATAACAACCAGTAACAACAGAAAAGCTTTAAACTTAATACACCAAGAGTAGCAAAAATGGATACAATTATCTAAGTAACTAAGCAAACTGCATTCCACAAAGAGAAATACAGTGTAGCTTAGAATCATCTGGAGAAAGACAATCAGTACCCACAAAACACAGACAAAACCCCACACACAAATCACAAAAGCTAAGAGAAAAAACAAAGATTCTAGAAGAAAACAAATTTGGATTTAAACGGCGAAAACATTTTTGGTCCTGTTTCTTGAAAGAAATAATTCTAAACTGGGATCTGAAGTAGAAGGAATACCACATTTATACACATCACACTGTAAACTGAAAGAAAACTGCAAGATATTGAAAAATACTTTAAAGTCAGTGAACAATTTAATTAACAGGAAGTACAAAGAGTTGTTTTGGCACTGCACTTGAAAGACAGCCTCAATAAAAACATGCTGATACCATACATGACATCCCAGGTGAACTATCAAAATATGAAGTTTGCAATCCTAAGCAGAAGTGCAACAGGAGACAGACTCAAGTGAAGCCCCCTCTAGCCTTCCACCATTCTTTTAAGGATGGCTCCCAGGCCACCCTTGGCCACTTTCAGAGGGGTCAGCTCTTCTTTATTCTCAATGTGAATACTTGCACCATGGGACACCAGCAGCTTTGCCTCCTCCACTCTCTCTTCATCGCAGGCTAAATGGCTGCAGTGAGAACAAGAAACCCACAGCCACTGTTAAACTGTCCAAGCTTGTACAGAGCAACAATTACACCTTGTCAAAATGACAGTGTCAATGTTGGGGGGGAGATACATCTGAGAACAACAAATCCACAAGCAGCCAACTACCTAGACAGATTCCAAAGCTTGCTGTCCAGTCCCTCTGCTGTCATTAAGCAACTCAAGAACATTCCTCCTGCTGCTCTCCTTGCAATGTTAAGACAGTTCTTTGGGTTAGGATTTGGCTCTGCAGTCAGCAAAGCTAAAGAGAACATAATCCATGATGAGAATGGAAAATGGCAATCTCTATTAAATTGAAGGTGAGAAATAAATTGTCTGGTGCTAAAAAATAATGAGTTACTGCAAATGCAGCAAATACTTTTCTCCATTTGGCACAGTGTCCTAGGAAGAACTGTGCGCATTCCAAGTCCATACTGGGATTTATGTACAGCTAAAACTTACTGCTTGATTTTATTCACAGCAAAATCTGGATTCCACTGTGGTTTTGACACCAACTTCAAAGTAGCTGTAACCCTTACAGATTCAAATTGATCTCTCAGGTAACAATAAGCATTGGGCTGATCGTATTTCAATTGCTGATTTTCTTTAGAGAGGTGAAGAAAAGCTTCTGAAATGAGTTCTTGCTTTGCAAGACAGAGTAGACCAGCCTGCAAGACCAGTTTCCTCTGACTCTGATGCCATTAGCTCACTTTCTACCCCACAGCAACAACCAATATATTTCAGATTAATACAAAATGTGTTCTACACTCTTTAAGTGGATGCAGTAACACAAGGTAAAGTATGCATGCACAGACCACTATGGTAAAATACTACGTATGACTTTCTGAAATACTTTTTAATTGCACAGGGATGTGAAGCAAGAGTGTATTTTGAAGCAACAAAAAATTAAAGAAAGAAAAAGACATTGAAGTAATGGAGTTGAATTTCACAGAAATTACTCTATATTAAGCAAAATAAAAATAAAAAATTACTTACAGAGGAGTATTCCCTTCAGAGTCCCGGATATCCAAAGTTGCATTGTGCTGCACAAGGATCTGTACCATTTTTAGGTTTCCTTTGGCTGCTGCTCTGTGTAACGGGGTGGATTCAAAATGATCTGTTGCATCTGGATCTGCTCCATTCTCCAAAAGCATGATTGCAATCTGAGCATGTTGAAAGAGAAAGGAGCAGGGGAGGAGGATGTGGGTTTAACACACCTAAATCCTTCTTCCAAGAACACCACCAGCTCCAGTAGCTTAGGTAAACATACCTCCTGCTTATTTTTGGAGGCTGCATAATGCAGGGGTGTGCAGCCATTCTGATTGACAGCATTTACATGAGCACCCTTAGCAATGAGGGCTTTCACAATTTCATCACGGCCTGCTGAAGCAGCAATGTGCAGGGGAGTCCAACCAGCCTACAGAGGCAAGAAGAAATCCACATTATTCAAACCATGAGTTTCAGGCAGAAAAATATGATAATGTATAACCCAGACAAACCTGAACTACTCACACTGCTCATATTCTTACCAATGTAAAGCTAAAATATTACTGATTTTCACTAGATGCAAGGCTCATGCCTTCTTACACCCCTGCATTCAGTACCTGGAAAAAGCTGTCAGTTAAATGACAGAAATAACTTCTGCTATGCAGTAATGCATGGTATCTTTGCAGAACACTTTGTCCCTGCAGAATTTACACTAATGCCTTTTTAAGAACAGCAGTAGTAGAAAAGAGTGTTAACAACTTTTCCTATGTCCTACTCTCTAAACGGATGAGACATTTACTTCTTTATGGATGACATTTAGGATGCTTTGTAACGGATACAAATATTTAAACTCTTCCTCTAGAACAGGAGCAGGCCATCTCCTTTCCAACTGTGAAACCACTGAACCTGCACCTGCTTTATTTATGCCTTCCCCAGTGTGAGAGATCTTCAGGCTGCCTCATGATTTGGCACAACATATTTGAGAGCTCACACGGAGATAAAGGCAATGTGAAAACCCCAAGAACCACCCAAGTACCCCTGATTTTGCAACTTCCCTCATAAATACAGCTCTTTTAAAATTCCGGGACAATAAGCAGGTCTGAAATCTCCTCCTCACGCCTATTTCCAAACGTGGAATACTTCCCACAGAGCAGCCGGGACCTGCCCAAGTGCCAGACACCGCCTGGGGGCCGCGGCCGGCGGCAGGAGGGGGCGAGGGCGAGGAGGGAGCGGCGCAAGCGGCTCCGGGAGGGCTCCGGCCGCTGTCAGAGCCCCTCCGCGGCTGAAACCGTGACAGCAGCGGGCCCGGCAGCACCCGCACACCCGGAGCGCCCCGCGGTCCCTCAGACTCACATCGTCCTTGTCGTTGACAGGCACGCCGAGCCCGAGCAGGAGCTCCGCCACGTCCGTGTGTCCCGCCGAGCAGGCCCAGTGCAGCGCGGTGCGGTGATCCTGCGGGAGGGAAGCGGTCAGCGGGGCAAGGAAGGGCAGCGGCCGGCAGGAGCCGCCCCCAGCCCGCTCGGGGCCGCAGCCGGCTGACCTGGTCGGCCCGCGTGGCCTGGGCCCGGTCGCGGAGCAGCAGCGCCCGCAGCTCCTCGAGGCGCCCCGCGAACGCCAGGTTACACACGGCCACGTCCGACACCGCGCCCTCCATGCTGCCCCCGCGCCTGCCCACCCGCGGGGCGGGGCCAAGCCCGCGAACCGCCAATCAGGAGGGGGCCGGCGCCCAGTCCAGCCAATCGCCCCTGCCCGCCTGCTCCTCTCACCGCCCGGGCCGCGGGGGCTGCTGGGGTTTGTAGTCCCTTGCACGCGGGGGCCGTGCGCTCCTGGCTGGCGGCGGGACTGCAGCTCCCAGGGCGCCCCGCGGCGCGGCCGTGTTGTGCCTCCGTGTCGGGGCGAAGGGGAGGAGGATGGTGACAGCGGGAGGATGGAGGCCGGTGAGGGGCGCGGGGCGCGGGCACGGCTGGCGGGGCGGCGCTGAGGGGCCAGGCCGGGGCTCCGGGGATCCAGTGGGGCTCCCGGCGGCGGGAGATGCCCGCGGGCTGAGGGACGGGGGCCGGCGCGGTGCGATCCACCCTGAGGGGTCGCCTGGCGCTTGGGCTCCCGCGGCCTCTGCCGGGGCCGGGGCTGGGGGCTCGGGAGGGGGCTCGGGCGTGAGGGGGCTCGGCCGGGGCGCGGAGCGGCCTCAGCCGGGGGGCCGGAGCTCGGTCTGGCAGCCCCGCTCCGTGAGGCGCCGCAGCTCGGGGGGAGCGCTGTGGGGGAGCGCCGGGAAGGGGATCCCGGCAAGGGAAAAGAAACCCCGGCGGTGCCTTCGCCAGTGCTCGGGGTGTCGGACGGCAGCGGGGGCGGGAGAGGCGGCCGCGAAAGGGGGGCAGGTGCCTCCGGTTGGATTTCGGGGGTCCAGAGTGTCTTAAGTCTTTGGAGTAAAAACCAGGTAATCTGCTCTGGAAGTGCAGTGAGCGGCGGCTTTTCTGCCGGGGAATGCAGAGCGCGGGGCGAGGAGCTGTTTAGCTGAGCCGCCGGCCCTGGAGGAGCCTGGCGCGGTGTTTCACCCCTGCCTGCGGGCACGCTCCGTGTCGGGGCTCGGCGCTGCTGGCCCCGGGCTCCAGCCAGACGGTGGTGCAGCTCCCTTCTGATCGCTGGAATGTGTATTATTTTTAAATGAACTATTTCTTTGTATGTATGATTTTACATTAATTTTTATACTTGAAGGGTTTTTGCACTCTTCCAAAAAGCACCATTTTAATGATCTAGAAAATAGTTGGACTGTCTTCTTTTGGTAGTAATAATTATCATTTGTTATTTTTCACTAAATAGATATGGTGTTGAATAATAACATTAATACATCTGTTTTTTTTCTGAAGTGTTTCAAATCTCCAGTTGGGAAAGTAAAGCCCAGTCTTGCTAACACTTTTCACATGCTTTCCATTAAGCATGAGGCCATAATCACTCTGATTTGTATTTTTTCTATGTTCCAGATCAAGCTGTGGTGCCTTTTTTTTTTTCCCTTTCCTCATTATCTTGAATCAAATCTCATCCTCACTGCAGTCACCCTGAACTTCTGTCACTGGCTTCAGTGAGATAGCTTATAAAGGTGTTATTCCTGCACTCACTAAGGATCTAAATAAAAACCAAGGCATTGGTTCTTTCAGTCAGAACAGCTTTTAAATGAGAAAATTAAAAGCAGCTGGCAGCACTGCTCAGAAGCCCCAAAGGCTGTAAAGACTTACTACAAACTAGTTCAGTTTGAGAGCTCCAGGTTGGGTATAAAGGAGCAAGGGGATAAAATGGAGTTTGAATTTTGTCTATTCCTGTTCAGTTTTGTCTAGGTATGAAAACCAGATCACTCTTTTGTCAGACTACTTAGAAGAATTTCCAGAAACTGATGAGCCAGTGTGGATTTTAGGAAGGCAACACCACCTAAACACAGGTATATGTAGAATTAAATTATCTGTAACATCTGTAGAATATTCATAGATTCACATGCAGCAACAGCTCCTGATTTCCTTGTGTTCCCTGAATGTCTCATGAGGGAAGTTGGCTCTCCATCAGTGAGACACCAGGTGTAAGCAGTGGAATTCCTCCTGTCCAGAAACCAGAACCAAGGCCAGTGTGCTCCCACTATAATCCATGCAATATGATCACATTCACAGCAGAGGCTGTCAGATGTGAGTCTCCACAACACAGGGCCTCAGAAATGAATATATAAATTACTTTTGGGAAATGTTCAGCATTACTGATGTCATTTTCCTATGAGGGATGCTGTCCACAGCCTGTTACTTGCAACTGAAATGATATTTCAAATAACAACAATAAGTTAGTCTATGGCACGTACTGCATTTTAGTGAAAATAAGTACATGGCCTAAAAGTTAGAGCAGAGTAATGTGTTTACATAAAAATAAGGTTTCAGAAATGAGTTTTGCTCCCTGGGGAGAAGACAGGGCCATCCTCCTGTGTTACATGGCAAAGGCAGTGGCCACCAGTGCAGGACAGCCCAGGGTGCTGCAGGCAGCCTTGATCAGCTGGAGAATCCTTTGGAAAAGCCAGGCAGTCTGAGCCACAGCCAAGGGAAAATGCAGCAAACAGGATTCTTAAGCATTCTTCAGAGCCTTTGGAGGATTCTGTAAGTGCATGTGGTTAAACGAACAGAAAAAAGAGAGGTTTCATTCAATTTAACATTATTAACCTTTTCTTAAGATTACTTTCTGTTGGGTTTGGAGGTAATGTATAGTTCCATGTTGATTTGCACGTAGAACTTCTTAACCTGCTTTACCAGTTCTTTCCTGAGGACAGTTCTCCAGAGTTGTTTTATTCAGGCTGGGCATAGTCATTCCAAGCACCTTGTAAAATTTCATTGGCTAGTAATTATTTCATCCATAATAAGTTAACTTTAATTAGCAGTCTGCAAAAGCTCTCTGTGTTTGAATTGCTAAAAAAATGTTTTAAGTACTAAGAGTCTTGTATGTAAAAGCTATAGGAGCCTTCCATGCACTCTATATAGTAATTGTACAGGGATACTTTGAATTTTTCAGTTTTAAGTCTGTTTTAATAATTTATTTCATCTTAAAATTATTCCAGACAAATCTAAATTATTGTTGGATATAAGTGCTCGTCTCTGGTTCACTTACAGAAGAAAGTTTTCACCTATTGGTGAGTATGCAGCACTCCAGCAGCCTGGTTATGGATTAGCAGGATTAGTGATGATGTTGGGGACTGAAAAGTCATTTTTACACTACTAGAACATTTTGATCATAATTTAACTGTGTGTGCAAACAAAAGATTAAAGCCATTAAAATCAGTGTTTGCTTGTACCTGTACATAATCAGGTCTTCATGTTTGTGGGGCAAGCAGTGAAGTGACAGCAGCACTGTGGGAGAAAGGAGCTGGCTCAGTGGGGCAGGCTGGCTCCCCCTCAGCTGTGGGGCAGCTGTCACAGGCTTGACTGTGGGTTTCAGTTGTCAGAGTTTGACTGTGGGTTTCAGTTGTTAGAGTTTGACTGTGGATTTCAGTTGTCAGAGGTTTGACTGTGGGTCTCAGCTCTCAGAGGTTTTTCTGTGGGTTTCAGTTATTAGGGGTTTGCCTGTGGGTCTCAGCTCTCAGAGGTTTTTCTGTGGGTTCCCTCAGAGCTGGCTCCATGCACAGCCCGTGCTGATTTGAGCCCCTCTGTTGGCAGGAGGCACCGGTCCCTCGTCTGACGCGGGCTGGGGATGCATGCTGAGGTGTGGGCAGATGATGTTGGCCCAGGCACTGATCTGCAGACATTTAGGAAGAGGTGAGTACTGTTGCTGAGGCAACTTTTGAGTTATTTGGAGGCTGTTTCATTTTTGTTGTCATTTTCCATAAAAGCGTGAAACCTAAATTTATTAATGAAACTCTCTTTGATGCCCTGATAAAGTTATTAGTGAACTATTTTTGTCTGATGAGGCAAAATCATGTCAGTCTTAGGCAGAGAAACAAAAACAGAGGAAGGACAGATAGGGAATCCCACTGTTGTTATTTTTTAAAATAAATAAATAAATAAAATAAATCTTTTTGAGGAATACCCAAGTTGAAGCTAAGGGAAAACTTGCTACATTTCATTACATAGCCACCAAAATACTAGCCCAGGGTGAGGGTGTCTGTAGTGACAGTGATAGACACCACACAAAAGTACTTCACAAACCACTCAGCCATCATCAGACCCCACAGCAGACCCCACCAGGGCCTGTAATTCTGTACTGACACCCCATATCCCAGAGCCGCAGGTGAGTGTCATAGGTGTGCTCTGTGTGACACTCTCCTGTCACTTACCTTGCTGTGGCTGGGTCTGTGATCCTTGTGCTCTTTTGTCATGGTTTCTATGGCAGCACAATGTGTGGATTTACCACTTTAATAACTGAATACACAAAATGGTAGTGCAAAGATTTAACTGAAAGAGTTGGCAAACAAACATAATTACCTGAGAAAAACTAATCTTTAACTTGCAGTATGGATCTAAAGAGCACCAGCCCTGTGTATGTGTTTCTCTGTTAGTAAATGTGAGGTAATTACCTTATGTCAGAAGCTGGTGTGGCAAAGCCGTGGTTTGGATTTTGCTGTGGGAGAGGGCCAGCATTGTGTTTGGATTTTGCTTTATGAGTACACAAATCCTACAAATGTTTGCAAATCTGATAAAGTCTGAACAGAACAGGTAGTTTTATATAGTCTTGGAAGCTCACATAGAGCAATAGCTATCAATTCTCAGCAGTGATCATTTGGGATATACTTGCAGTTGGCATTATTATTTTAGTTTCCCAATTTTCACACAATAGATAAAGGGCAGCTTGGTAATAAATGACAAGGTGTGACTTCTAAATAAAATGTAAATATTAGAGATGGATTGTCTCTTAAAATCTCATTGTATGGCTTTCTGCCATTTAGAAATTTGATCAGTACAATGAAAATATTATTTTTTAATCTGTATAACTTTTTTCCTGAAAGATTGGCAATGGGAAAAACACAAAAAGCAACCAGAAGAATATCATAGAATCTTACGGTGCTTTCTGGATAGAAAAGATTGCTGTTATTCCATCCACCAAATGGGTAAGAGCACACATCAACTTCCTTTTGTCTGCTGAAATTCCTATGCTGTTGAAACTTTCTTTTTTGAAGTAAGTTAATGAAACATTTTTAAACGGTGATTATGAAGACAATGTGTATTTTTACATATAAATAAAAATGTATGCAAGTGGGTACAAAGTATAATAATTCAGAAATATTATACTTAGACCTAAATAAATCTGTATTCTAGAATAGAGTGTGCAGGTTTTGGGTAGGAGAGTTGATAGTGTTCAAATGGACAGTCATAGAAGTTATTGCTGTAATTTGTAAGTAAGGACATATTTGTAGTTGTCAACTTCCAAGGGAACTAGCAGTCATTAAGTGTTGAAAAGAGTATAGGTTGAGAAAATAATTGTTGCCAAATACAGCTTGCTCTGGAGTGTTTGTGAAGGTATTGGTAGGCCATGCGTGACACAGACTGTGACCAGCCTCTCTGTGGTTTGTTTTCCCTTTCCACAACAGCACAGATGGGTGTTGGAGAGGGGAAGTCCATTGGGGAGTGGTTTGGACCAAACACAGTTGCTCAAGTGCTGAAGTAAGTCATGGCAGGGGCTCCTGGGATGTGCTCCTGGGGCTGCCTGAGGCTGCTGGGGAGAACATGGGAACTCCTCCTGGCCTGGAGGCCTCACTAGAGCTGACTTTGAGGGATAGGGAATATCCCATCCTGCGGCTCCTGGGTGCCATTTGCTGCAGCCCTGGCACAGACATGTTCTGGAGAGAAAAAGGAGCTCAAGGATGTCCTGGCCTCCAGCTCCTTTCCCTTACAAATTCTTCTTGACTCACATACCAGTTTTTCAGGCTTATTTTAGACACCCAGCACTGCCTGTGCAGCCTGAGAGCTCCCTTCCCCAGAGTTCTGGATGTCACACCAAGTGGACAGAAACCTGTGTGCTATTATGCCACCCTCCTAAATTTTGGGTGCCAAAATCTTGAACTGCTCTGGCTTTTAACAACCTGAAATAGTTCCACTGAACTTCTTAAGCACAGAATAATGTGGAAAAACTGGCATAGGAATTTTTTTCTTCTCTACATGATGTTAGGCACCATGGGCAGAATCCCACAGTGGAATCTGTTAATTGCAATAAAAAGTAATAAACCTGATGATGTGGTTGAGCTGTTGCTATCCCTGCATTTGGCAAAAGGACAAAACAGCTTTCACATGATACAGTGTGTGTGCTTTTCCTGGAACCACTCATTATTATTTTTTTGTAAATATGTTAAACACTGAAAGTTTTCTTTTTATTGCATGGACACTTAAAAAAACCAACAATTTTTTCTTCCAAATAAGTAACTTTTTTACTCAAGAACTATTTAACTGTCCTGAGTCAAAAGCTATCCTCATGGTCCTAATAAGCTTTTATTAATTATTGCCTCTGTGTTTTCTAGGAAGCTTGCTTTATTTGATGAATGGAATTCATTAGCAGTTTATGTATCTATGGACAATACTGTGGTCATCGAGGACATCAGTAAGTGAAGCAGGAGTTTCTGCAGGACTGCTCTAGTGTCTCAGCAGATACCAAAGGGAAGCTCAAGCTCATGGCAAATTTAATTGTTTGGACAATTATGCTCTGGGAGCATTAGGGTAGTGGTTGGATTTGATAACGTTAAAGGTCTTTCCTGGCCTTAATAATTTGATGATTCTGTGATTATTTCTTGGTGACAGTTTTTGATTTGAATGTATCCAAGTATGAGCAAAATCTTGGCACTATCCCTACGTGTTCCCAGGGTAAGAAAAGGAATAAAGGAAATGGATACTCAGGTTTGGGGTTTCCAAAAGTAAAGTTAGCACAGAACAGTGAGGATTTTTGGTGACCAGCTCACATACCATGTGGATGAGAAAGTGGAGTTTGGTCTGTTCTTCCTTAACTCCTACTCCACCAATGGAATGAAGTTGCAATATGTAAAAATACAGAGAATTGCTTGTAATAGAAATTTGGCAGAAATTTGCTTTTGTCAGGCAAAAGGGAAATGAAGGGCAGATCCTTCAGAAATGTGTGGCCCATTTTCAACTTATAAACTGTAAGGTTTACAAGTGCTATTTAGCCACAGCCTGGTTCTACCTTAGTCCCTACTTCTGCTTATTTTATGTCTACATCACTGGAAGGGAAGAGTTCCCTGAAGAGTTTCTAATGCTTCCTCCCTGCTGTATCATCTCCCAGGCAAAGCTTGACAGCTTTAATACTGCGAGTAGTAAATGCAACTTCAGTCTTAAACATTCATCCCCTCATTTTTCCCATGTCTCACTAATGTGCCAGCACATACTCTGACTGCCAGAATTACTTCTACTAAATAGTCAGGATTTCCATGCCCTGCTCCTTTTTTCTTAAAACAGGAGCTCTGTCTGGAAAAGCAATTTAATTCATGATTGAAAGACGTGCTCTGTGTTGCTGTGTGCATTCACTGATGTCTCTTTTCATTCCCCCAGAGAAGATGTGCTGGTGCCCTGCCCAGAGCAGCAGTGTTGCCCACAGCAGTGCACATTTGCACAGGAGTGCTCTTGGCCCAAACAAGAACACAGCAGGATTGTGCCCAGGCTGGAAGCCCCTCCTGCTCATTATCCCTCTGCGCCTGGGGATCAATCACATCAACCCAGTGTATATTGATGCCTTTAAAGTAAGGCATTCTTCAGTCACTTCTTTGTCTATGTGAAAAAGTGCAGGTATCTTGTACATCAATAAACAAATCAATTTAATTTCTCTCTCTTTGGACTCCTAGGAATGCTTTAAGATGCCACAGTCTTTGGGAGCATTAGGAGGGAAACCCAATAATGCCTATTATTTTATAGGATTTTTAGGTAAGGAAGAAAGAAACTTACTCCAAATATCCGTATGACTGAAAGAGAAAGGATTTTCTTTGGGAAGGGGCTGTAGTAAGCATTTTAAGCATGAGAATGGAGAAGAAGAAACATACGTCAGACACTTCAGGAATAGTATGAGACCATCCTTATAGGAACAGAAAAGAAGCAGCAAAGCTTGATATAAAAATATGGAATGATACAAGCAAAACAAGACACTAAGGAAAGTTGATAGCATTCAAAAAATGTGAAATGTCACTGCTACTTAAATACTGTATTTTTTCTAATCATTAATACTTTCCAGTGAAGAGTGTCTTGTTTTATTCTTTTGCTTCCTGGCTTTCCTAAATTATTGTCTCATTTTTCAATTTTTTCTCAAAGCAGTATGTCTTTCACCTTCTTCCATGTCTTTATTAATTAATGCAACAGTTGATCCTAGATTCAGCCTTTGATATTTTACCCTGGTTTGATCCGTAGCTCCTTGGATATTTTGTTCTTTCTTTTGTAAAACCTGAGCTGTTTTAGTCAGACTTACTTGTTCAATTTCTGGGTGAATGCCTAATGGGATTACAGATTGGATTTGTGGTCATCCTGTATCTTTGATCTGAGGAATGTTAGGGATTACTGCAGTTGAGATTTTTAAAAAATGTACTGGACTTCATGTAGATAAAGGAAAGTATGTGACAAAGGTAGAAAAAAAATCTGAAAAATCTACCCTAAAAGGTAACAGTGGAAAATTATGCTAAATGCCCTGTGGGATACTGTTGTGCCTGGCTTTCCAGTTCTCTTTATGTTTTACAAGTCTGGATGGAATAAATGTTTATTACTGCTTCTTGCTTGTTATCACCGTGTGGATTTTACCCCTCCAGGCAATGAGCTGATCTACTTGGACCCTCACACCACTCAGAGTTTTGTAGATTCAGAAGAAAATGGCACAGTTGATGACAAGAGCTTCCACTGCCAGCAAGCCCCTCACAGAATGAAGATCATGAATTTGGACCCTTCAGTAGCTTTAGTAGGTGTTAGAAAATGATAAATGTGTGTACTTTGTTCAGAGCAATACCTCTGTGTATTGATAAGGGCAGCAACATGTTTCCTTGGTCACAGTCAAGATCTCGGGGCACTCCTGTGCAATCTAAAATTCAACACACAGTACTTGAACTGCATAGGATACATTAGTTTTAGCTCAAGCAGGGAACCAACTGTTTGTATCCTGGGGAGCCAATTAAATTTCCTTCCTGGGCAACACAGACCTTTTCCAAGAAGTAGTTTGAAAGTCAAAGCAAGGAACTGAATCATGTTTCCTTATTTTATTCCATCACTATCATCTGTGCATTGGTTGCCATCAAGAAGATACTCACCTGAACTTGTTTTATTTAATCTACAAATCTTCAAGTGGAATTACTTGTAGAAGTAATCCAGTATAGACCACAAAAATACTGTGGTAGTTGAAGAAATTCAGTCTGATCTCGTGCTAGTTTCCTTTGGTTGGGTTATGGGTGATTGTCACTTGAGATATAACCCATACATAGATACCACAGTATCTTTGCTCACTGACATACTGTATTTAATATTACTCTGTGTATTCTCTCCTTAGGGCTTCTTTTGCAAAGAAGAATGTGATTTTGATAACTGGTGTAGTCTTGTACAAAAGGTAATACTACTATCTTTTCATCTGTATGAAATCATGGATACTGTTCTTTTTTTGGTTGATGGAAATTCCTGGCCTGCAAATCAAATGATCCCCAGTGAAGGTGGCACTAATGATCAGGGGGAGATGACACTGCTGATGGAGCTTGTTCAGCATTTTGTAACCCTGAGCCCTGGCACTGGGAGAAGAAGTGCATCCACCCCTTCTGAGTTTGTCTTCTGTTAGCAGTACTGTGTTAGTGGCTCATACCTAAGTCATTTACTGACAAACAGCAAGCAGCTGGAATATTAAGCAACAGGAATGTGAATATAAAGTACCACCAACCAAAAGCATTTATTTAGAAAAAGGCTACAGGAAACAGTTTGCAAATAACTGAAGTAGAGGATATGCTGGAGCTCATCTGATAGCAGTGAAATTTTGCTTCAATAACTTGTTTCTCCTGATCAAAACCTATCTTCCAAAATCTCTTGGATTTTTTTGAGTAGATAGATCTGTTTTTTGTTCCCATTGATTAACAGAAAACAGAGAGGTCCAAGCAAGTAACTTAAAAGGCAGAAGTATGTTCTTGGTATGTGTTTGCTCCGTGTAATCAAAACTATAGATGTATAAAAGCTCGTTATAATGCACTGGTAACTTGTAGGAGTTTAAGAGATCCCTCTTCCAGGTGTGTTTTCAAGTAGGACAATACTAGAAATGTGTGAAGCTGTGATTCATGATGGCAGGTACCTGACCTAACAGGAATTTACAGCCTTTGTTCTTTGATAGATACACAATACTAAAAATGGTTTTTGGTTCGTATTCTGTCCTCAGGAGATTCTAAAGCAGCAGAGCCTGCGGATGTTTGAGCTGGTGCAGAAGCACCCACCCCACTGGCCTCCTTTCATACCTCCAAGCAAGCCAGAAGTGACAACCACAGGAGCAGGTGTGGTACCCTGAAAGCAGAGTGAGGCTCCTCAGCCAGCACAGAACCACCACAGGTGGAATAACTGGGCTTTCCTGAGGATCAGGCAATCACTGCATGATTGAATGCCTTGCTCTTACAGAGTATCAGTTATCCAAACAGGCCGTGTCCAGTTTACATGTGTTAGCACAAGATATTTTTAAATCTTTGAAAATATTTCAAAGGCAGCATTTCAGAAGGATGGGGGGGGGAGGTTTGAGGGTTTTTTTAGTAAACAAAATCAGGCACGTCTTCACATTCTAAATTGTTTAATTTATTTTTCAGAACTTATTGAATCTACTGACAAGCTATTTGAATTGGAAGAAGAATTTGAAATCTTGAGTGTATGAAGGAAACTGTGGTGACTCTTCTGACATATTGCTAATATTATTGCATTGACATAAATTACACAGCCATGTTAGCCCAAAAGTGCCTGAAATCATGGATAACAGAGCACAAACATCTGGTATCATCCAAAACTCCTACAGGGACAGTTCCTTCTGTCAAAGAGCTTCCCCAGATGGAAAGGCACTGAAAGATTTTATTATAAGACCCTGAAAGGGAACCTCTTTTTAATGTATGTCTTTCTGGAAGACAAATGGACCTCTGAGATTAAGGCAAAAATAAGTCTGTCAGTGGGCTGTATGTTTGGAGAAAAGGATAACACAAAATGGGTATTTCTTGCTCTCATATAATGCAATAGTTTAGTTCTTAAAGCAAGAGTCTTCAGTTGAGGAGGATGTCTACTTCTGTTCCTTCCTGTGGGCTGCATCATAGAAAAAATGCATTGTCTTGTTTAAAAGATCAACTGGATCAGGAGAAAATTGTTTCCTTGTTAAATATTTTAACATGTATTTGAGCAACCACACTTTATGACAAGAATGTTTCTGTGAAAGGAACTATGTCTAACGTATCCATTTTGCAATAGCCTTCCTGTTTCTGGGAGACCTCAAGAGGAACAGGAGCCTCAAAGAGTTGATACAGATCACAACCACTGTTATAGTTGATATATTTCACCTTGACCTTAAAGTTCAATCATTAAAACTTAGGCTGACTTTTCTTCCAGAGCTAAAGAGAGTCAAAGGTGGTTTAACTGTACTTTATTTATTTTAAAAAAGATTTACACAAGTATCTCTGTTACTGCACTTTATCTGTGCATCTAATAAATTTCTTAAGCTTTTCATAGGTTGTATGCTGCTATATTTTGTTAATTTGTTTGTGTGAACTAAATATAACCCAGGTTATCTTAAAACTTAATATATAGGCATATGCAAATTACTTAATTGTTGGGTTTTGACTTGTTGCCTTTTGAAATCTGTTTTGGTAAAAGTGCCTTAATTCTCCAGTTTCATCAGCAGAGCCGGTGCAGTTTTGTTTCTTTTTAGAAAGAGTATCTCTGTAGCAGCTCTGAGAAAACCAGCTCAGAATAAAGGCAAAGATCTTTTAATTCATTCTACAGTTCCTTTTTACTATCACAGTCCCCATTCTGATCACTTTGTCACCATAGTGTAATGCACGTGAGTCACACATTTTCATCTTCAGTAATAAACGACCATGTAGAGAAATCCTGAATGCTGTCTCCTCTCACTTGCACTTCTGGGTCAGGGCCAGTGTGATTTCCAAGAAAATAGTCATGACCTGGGCACAGTTCATCTTGTTTGCCTTCAATGTTTATTAGCCATGGTTTGGAAACTATACATATAGAAAAAATACCATTTTCTTCCCCTCTCCATGGAGTAGCTGCACAGGTTTTGTGGGGTTTTTTTAAACAAAGTACTTCTTTTTCATTAATACATGAAGTTACTGTGCTTATGACATCAGTTGCAGCCCTCTCCTCCCCACAGACAAAAAATTAAAATGAGCCCTTGCTCTGAAATGCTCAGTCTCGAGCAGTACCTGCTAAAAATAATTAAAAGACCCTCAGTGGAGTACCAGGTGCTCATTCCCCAAGCCACCCTCAGCCTCTTCAGAGAGAAGCCTGAGCCTTGCAGAGCTCTTGAAGGATTCTGGGTGGGGGTGAACAGATGGATGGAAATGGGGCTGATGGCAGAGCAGGTGACTGGAATTCCTGCTCCCTGCACCTGCCAGGTGGAACTGGATGGAAGCTTGGACAGAGACAGGAGTGGAGCTGCTGGTTACTTTGAGAGAAGCAGCTCTCTAAAGGCAGTGCTGCTAAAAATGCATAAAGCTCTGATCCTGGGGAATAAATTAATTGTGTTTGCATGTGTCATGTCCAAAAATAAAGCCAAGTCCCCGCAGATAAAAGACCTGACCAACCAGACTCTTTGTAGCACCATGGGAAGCCAGTGGATGAAAATTTCCTTGTACTTTGTCAGTTATCTGTGTTATTTTTCAGAAGTCTTGAGCTTTGCTCTGTGCACACAAGTGCATGTGCATAACCCAGGATGTAAATCCCACATGCTCTGTGCCAGGACAGCTGGGAACTAGAGTGGAGGAAAGGACTGCTGCTCAGGAGTGTTAAAATGCCTTAAAGATACTTGCAAAATACATCCAGAGCAGTTGCTGATCTTTCACAATTAGGAATAAGTGAAAGACAACATTGTTCCTCAACTTCCCTGTTCATCTCTAGTGTGGTTTAACTCCAGGACTTGGAGAGCTCTGACCTCCATCTGTGAAGATGATAATGTGTTATGCAAGTAATACTTTCATCTTTACTGATTATTATCTGCTTAAAATAATGTCTTAGTCATGCATTAATAAGAATTTTCTGAATAACTTTATCCTAAAGATTTTTAAGCCAAGGTGACAATGTATTTGCAAGGCACTCCTTTGAAATGTCCTGGGATGTCAATAGACAAGGATTTCACACCCTTCACTCCAGAGAGGTTAAAGGTAATAACTTTAGTCCTACTGAATGAATTCATTATAGGTACAACCATACCTTTGTCATGGCTTTCCCCTAAAATATACAAGGAAAATCCAATTAGTGGCACTTCTCTTTAATTACGCCCTGAAGGAAAGTTAACAGTGCAGACAGTAGAGATACAATTTTTTAAACTTACAGCAATAAAGCCCAGAGGAAGCAGGATACAACACATGGTGACTGCAGGAGTAAAAAACGTACATCCCATAGCTGCTTACTCCTGTATCTGCATAAGCTTGCATGCCATCTAGTGAAGGTTCTACTTTTCAAACACACACAGCTTAAATAATAAGCTTGAAAATAAGTGTGCCAAAGCTGCCTCAGAAAGGAAATTTATGTTCATAGTAATAAATGTTGGCTAATAAAGTATGGCTGTATATCAGAGGCTGCAAGGAGATAAGCACAGACCTTGAAGCCAACAGACCTGGAATATATTTCAACAGAAAGCAATGAAAAATGGTAGAGTGTTTTGGATTTATCTTCACATGAAAAATTGCATTAAGGTAGGCTGTGGATAGCAGGCTGGATTAGAACTGGTTACCTCTCACTGGAGGAAAGAATGTTCCATCTGTGTAATAAGCAAAGCAAATAATTCATTTTTCAATTTTTCTAAGAAAATCCATTATCAACCAATAGTGCATAGTGTTTCCAAGTCGCCCAGCATATCCTGATAAATTTTAGCTGGTTCTGTGTTTCACAGGAGAATGAGTCTCCACTCCTTTACACTAGACCAAATACTGTGTGCAAAGGCACTAATTCAGCCTAGCTTTGGCAAAGTGTCTCTGGGTGATGACTGGATGTGCCTTGGACAGAGGAGTGGTACAAGGTGTCAGCTGCTCTTCAGTCTGAGTAAGGAACTCACTGAGACTTTCTGAGGTAGCCATAAAAGAGGGGAAAAAAACATCAAAGTAAAAACATAGCACCATGTTCCATTAAAAAATGGCTTCAGAACACTGGTCTTTCCCTCCTCTGCGCACAAATTCCTGGACTTGAAACTTGATTTCTGTAGAGTTCTGGCTGTCTTGATTCACCCATCAAACACACACAAAACAGGTTTGTGAATTTACCCTTCTCCAGGCAGCAATGTCTAACGAGGGGTAACAAAGACTGTTCCCATAACTGCAATTCTGTTACAAGTTCTTCATGCACACCTGGCAGCGGCTGACGCGAGTCCGAAGCTGCCCCGCCTTGAGAGTCTCTGAGGGGGGAGCGCTGACAAACTGCTGCTCCTGCTCCACCGTGGTCAGCCAGAAGCTGTACTTGTTGGCAAAGTAGTGGCACGTGCCCCGAGCACCGTTGCACTCGATGAAAGGAGTGGCTCGGAAATCCTCCAGGCAGGAACCAGGTGAGACCAGGGACTGGCCTCCGCCCTCTGCCCCTGCTGCAGTGTGCTGAAATAAAGATGGAATTCAGTGAGCTCCAAGGAACAGAAAGAGGTACACGGGCAATCAAATTATACCCTGGCTATGTGTATCTGTCTCTTGAGTCAGGGCTAGAAGGTAAAGAGCAAAGGAGCATACTTAGGCTGAATATGCAGGCCTGGAATAATGGAAAACCAGCTTTTCACTTGAAAGATGGGAAAATTTGGAAACAATGATGCTGGCATCATGTTTTTCTAACAATCTTACACTAATAAGCTTCTAGGGAAGTGCAATGGAAAATTTTTTCCACTGAGAAAGAGGATTAAGTCAATACTGTAGCTGAATTACTGTTTCCACATTTAAAGGTTTTAAGAACTAACATCTGTAGTGATACAGAACTTAGGCAGCAGTGTTACCACCAAAACTGAGCAGGGCAGGTGCTACACAGAGCAAACTCAGAGCTACTGCAACTCAGCTGATGAAGAAATGCACTGAGGTAAGAAGAGACAGGGTTCCAGGTTCCTGTTAGCAACTCACAGAACACAGTCTCAGTGACCTCATTAGAGAGGAGGGATGGAAATGTTTGAAGCTGCCTTTGCACCAGCAGCAGTGTCCTTACCATAAGGAAAGAGTATCCTATCCACAGGCTGCGCCAGCCCAGGGGACACTGTGGGATGGTGATGTCCTGGCTGTGCACAGCCACAGCCTGGGAAGGTGCCTCACACACAGAGCACCTGCTGATGTACTGTGGGATCTGGACGCTGTCCACGGGCATCATGGGGATGGGAGCAGTGGTGGAGAGCCAGTAGGACTTGTCGTTTCGGCTGGCGTAGTAGCACACCTCATTGATGTTGCAGTAAATGAAAGGCATGGTGCTGAAGCGAGGCAAACATGAGCCAGCAAAGCCTGGAAGAAGCAGAGCAGCAGTCATATCAAGCATCTGCCAAAGACTCCAAGCCATTCACACCAACATTTAGTGGTGAGGATGGCACCAGTGACACCGCTCCCAGTGTGGATCTGGCCAAGCCACCTGCCACCAGCCCCACCACAGCCCTCTGCACTGCCAGGGAGGATGGCTTTTAAAATGTTATTTTGTGTTGTTCACTCTTGAGAGAATTCTGTC